ATTGGGCTATCGGTGGAAGATAGCTATAGTTGTTGTAGAAATTGCATGAGGATTAGGTGAATTGAAACTAATCATTTAATTGGTGTCATTGAACATGACGGTATGTTAAGGCAATGAATATGTATAGTTGATAGTTATTGAATATGACGGTACTTTAAATACATTGTATATGTATAATGTTTTGGGAGAAGAAATGAGATGTACTCCATGTTTTGGAAGGAGATAGGGGATGAACTCCATTGAAATTAAGTTGGCTGGAGTGCCCAAGATGAAAGTCTCAAAATCATTTTTACATCACTTTTTGGTACCTTTTTACTCAAAAACCCTAGATCAGCTCTCTCTCTCTCTCTAAAATCTGACTTCTCTCTAGAAATACGCCTAGATTTAGGGATCTCTCTACCCTACTCTCTTTGGTAAAAAGATAGAGCATCCCGTGAGCTTCCATTTGGTCCGAATAAAGTTGAGTTTGGGCATTTTTAAGGCTTCTACACTTGAGGTAGGAATATTCTACACCTTGATATGATCTTTAACCTAGTTATTTGTTGTTATGTACAAAGGGTGAGATTTTGGAAGTATTTGAGTAAACCTAGGGTTTGGATTCAAATTGAAAAGAGGGGTTTCTATGTTGCATTACATAAATAATTATGGGGTTTTGGATATGAAGTTATCATATGTTAAAATGGTGGATTTTAGCCTTTGGGTTAATATTTGAAAAAGGGGGAGATTTGCCCTAATATGTCTTGAATGATTATTTTGCATAAATAATGAAATTGGCATGGAAATGTGAAATTGGGGGAAAGTATAGATGAATGGTGTTGTTGGATTTGTTTAATCACTCACCTATGAAAATGTGATGAATTATCTGTTATTAAGATTGAATATATGTATTGAGCTATCGATGGAGGATAGCTATGATTGTTGTAGAAATTGTATGAGGATTAGGTGAATTAAAACTAACCAATTAATTGTGTCATTGAATATGATGGTATGTTGAGGCATTGTTATAATTGATAGTCATTGAATATGACGGTACCTTTAAATACATTGTTTATGTATAATGTTTTGGGAGAAAAAAGAGGATGTACTCTATGTTTTGGGAGGAGATAGGGAATGGACTCCATTGAAATTAAGTTGGATGGAGTGTCCAGGGTAAAAGTCCTAAAATCATATGTATATATGGGTGCCGATCCTGCGGACGAAATTTTCGTAAAGTGGCAAGATTGAAGTGTTTGTATGATGGTTATGTTGATTGAGAGCCACTGAGTTGTAGTCTCAGTTGGGTTATTTGGAAAATTGTAAACTTGACTTATGCATAGAAATAAAGCGAATTAACTTGAAATGAATAAATGAAAATGGATTGAGATGTGAATGTTGGTACCGCATGGTCACGTGAAGAATGTGCGTTTGTCATAAATATTGAATATGTCTCTGACACTTATAACTCAGTTAAACCTCATATACTGTGATAGACTGTTTCTACTGGGCTTTGCCTCACCCTATTTGGAAAATCATTTTCAGGTACCAATGACATATTTCCTCCCAAGACATACCTTGGGGGAGCCTAGGAGCTGGAGGCTCTATTTTGTGTTTTGTGTTTAAATGTTTATTCCAGCCAAGGGCTTTATATATGTACAGAGCTTATGACTCTCTTTTGTTGTAACCAAGTAATGTCTTGGAAAGATGTAAGCCCGTAGGGCATTTATTTTGTATTATTAACTAGTGTTACATGCTATAGATTCAGAATGAACATTTATGAATATATATTGTATGTATCATCTTTTGTAATATGAACTATGATGAATGAAAGTATACCAATTCTATTTTGCTCATTTCTCTTTATGAGTTGTATTATTTTGGAGGCGTTACAAGTCCTTTATGTTTCAAATTTTTTTCCAATTTTAAAGCATGAAAAGCCAATTTTATTTTATTTTATTTTTTCACGATAATTCTCAGCAATGAAATAAGTTAATGAAAGTGAAGGCCCACAATGGCCTCATTTGGAAAGTTAGTTATTTTAATTGGGTTTTTAGTTTTTTTTTTTTGCTATTTTAGCCTGGCTAAAAAAAGTTGTGTTTGGGAATATAGTTGATTTTTTTTTTTTTTTGGTTGGTTTGATAGTTGTGAAAGAAAAAATAAATGATTATGTGTTAGATGTAATATTTTGTCTTATTGATTATTTTAGTCTATTTTATCTTTAAGGCTATTTTTAGAGGTGTGCGCGGTGTAATTCGAGCAGTTTGAGAGTAAAATTATGAATCGAATGGCAGATTAGCGGATTGTCGGATCGATAAATTACAATTTGGACTGTTTTAGGTGGATTAATGGATTGAAAAATATTCTAACCAATTATCAAGTATTTGCATAATATATAACATTACTTTATATAATAATTTTTTATATATATAACACAAACAAATTTTACATAATATTTTTCATATATATAACTACTAATTTGTAATAAATTTCACATTTTCGATCTCTCACACTTATTTTTATTTTGATATTTCATTAGAGGTTAAAAAATATATAAGTATTAACTATAGCAAAGCAGAGCGATTTTGAAGGTAGATTATAAATTTTAAAATTTAATCAGCAATTAGCAGATAGAGCAGTACAACTTGATGAGGATCAGTACAGTTTTAACGGATTGGCTGATATTTTTGTACAGTCCTAACTATTTTAGCCCAAATAACACTTCCAAACAAGGCCAATGTGGTAGATTTATTCTCAAGAAAACGAAAAATTATTGATTGGTTCAGGGCACCACGTGACAATGCCCTTAACAATCACAATTCACCGTGGCTCCTTATGTTCTCCAATTACGTAATATAAATTTTTGAATCCCACCCTCTTTACCAATCACAACACCATTGAGACACCATGTGACGGTGCCTCGGGACCAACCAATAACATCTCTAAGCAACTATATGGAAAGTATTGACAACTTACATATGCTCCTGTATAAGGATCCTACTCCATAGGTATTCATAATCTTGATTTGTAAAAACTCAGAATTCATCTTTAGAAGTGAACATTAAGATTTAGGGCCAATTTGTGAACATAATAAAAAGCCAAAAATTAACTTTTAATCGATTTTAAGTCATATCATCTCTCACGTTTTTTACACATTTTTTCAACCAAAAAAAAATAAAAATAAAAAAAGCCAAAAAATCAATTTTTAATCATCTTTCTAAAGCACCCCTTATTGATTAAGGATAAACTAGACAAAAAACTAAAATAACGTGAAAAGAAGAATTAGACTTTCAAGATTTAAAAACCTAAGGGCTTTAATTTTAATTATTATGCAAATTTGTAGTGTTCTAAACCTCTAACAGAAAACATGTAGAGAGATTAACAATGTAAAATCATCTTAAATAATAGTAAAAAGAATGTAACCCAGCGTGGCTAGGCCGAACTAGTTCCCAAAAATCTAGGCTTAGGCCCAAGTCCAAGCCTAGGCAACGAGTTTCAGGCTTGGGTTGGGCCTAGATCGGATTTTATTTTTTAAAAAAAAAAAAATCACCAAAAATAACTTACAAGTGACGTTGGGTGTCGGTCAGGCTCGGCCTTGAGTCAGGCCTTAGGCCAGGTTCTTCGAACCGAGAGTTAGGTCGGACTGAGCCTAAAAATGCGTCTCTTGGGCAAGCTTTGGCTAGGCCTTGAGGCCACAAGCCAATTTAACATAAAAGAGGGATGTATTCATAATTTTTCATATATATAAAAATTAAAAAAAAAAGGACAAAATAAGTATAAATTTCAAGATATTTTTATTAGTTTTATGATAATTTTCACTCTTTTAATTTTTTTTACAATTTTGGTTGTTAAAAAAAAATCTCTATATATTTTATAAAGAATTTTAAAATATTAATTTCTAAATGAGAATTGTTTCGTCAATACAACATTAGGTGTAATATGTTGGAATAGTGCTAAGTTCTCACTACAAAAATTAGCGAGGCATATAAAAAGCAATCATTTTTGTTTTCGATAGGCGCATATGATACAATATAGGCGGCATCGCAGTAGAGGTCATGGGAGACTCAGACTCAAACGTTGTGGGTCCCACTTACTTTTTCCATTCTCAACTTATAAAAAAAAGAAACAAAAACGACAAAAAAGAAAACAAAGTTGTTTTATTTATATATTCATTTTTGATAATTTTAAATTAAAGTAAAATTATAATAAAAAAAACAAAAAATAAATATAATGAAATTGTAGTGTGAGTATATAATTATATTTTTTTGTCAGGGGCCAACCCTTCACAAATTGTAGACTAAAGGGGTAAATGCATAATATTACCTGAAATTTTGAAATAGTTCGCAGGGCAGTTGGTGTCCAACCTTGCATATGCTCTCCTATTAACTTTTTGTGATTTTCTTGTGCTATGACAGCTTTAACTCAAAAATTGTTTACTAAAAAATGTTGACAAGGCATAAGAAATTTTTTTAAAAAAAGAGGGTGGCGTTTGTTAGAGTTTTATTATTATAATTTGATGATAGAGTTGTATTTTGAGTTTGTGAGTTTTGAAATTATGATTTGAAAAAAAGAAAATTTGTTTAGCAATGGATTTTAAAAAGAGTTTTGAATTGAATTTTGAAGGGAGTTTTGAGTTTTTGAAATTTGAAAAGTTATTTGATTAAAAAACTTACAACTCATAACCAAACACATAATCTAAAATGTATCCTCCTCTCCATTTCTCTTTTTGCCGCACTTGACAATAAAAAACAAAAAAACAAAAAAAAATAAATCTAAAAAGTAGAAAAATCCAAACATTAATCGACTGTTTCAGAAATGAAAATCTGCCTTTGCAATGCCAATTTTAAACAATAAAAACTTCAATAGATCAATTCCTAGATTTATTCAATATTGGGTAGTTGAAAATCCGATGAAAGCACTCACTTCAACAACTTTTATAACTCAAACCAAACCCCAAAACTGGAATACCACAACATCCTAGTACCCATTTACCAAAAAAATTGCCACAAAACCCATATAATGGCATAAAACTTTCAATCAAATAATCAGCAGTCAAATGGTATAGAATTGTGAAACAAAAAATTAAATAGCTGCATTTTTACATTACAACATCCGTATATGGTAAATCATATGAATAAGTTGAATAATTTATTCTACACATTTAATAATCCAACAATTTGTATAAAATAACAAACAAACGTGAACCCAATTGAGATTGTGGTTCTGCCAATAAGAGAGGCGCTGTGGGGTTGTGTACAGGTTGAGAGTGCATTAAGTGCTAGTTTCCAACCCAAAACCGCAACTTTCAGTTTCAGACGCAGAATATAAACCATCTCAGTCAAAGGAGTTGCCAATCACAGTCGTCTTCTTGTGTTCCACCCTCTGCATTATTACCGTGCACAATGTCAAAAGACTCGTCCTGTTGATTCCGACTAGTATCACTCAGCATGTCATAGTGATCGGCTGCCCTTGGCGGATTGCGGGTATGAGTAACAGTAAATAATGGAGCACCCTTCGATCCATCAGCCAGCTTGGAAGCACGGTTACAAAAATCATCAAAATCATCTGCCAAACCAAAAGAAAAAGAATGTCATGCCCAAAAAAGCTTCAATCCTCGAGCAATAATAAAATGAATGTATGGAATTTAATGAAGAACAGCCAGCCAGCATCCATACCTTTGTCTCTGCAATAAAACCCAATTGCCAAGGATGAATCAACGGAGTCAAGTGGTACGTGCCGCACAACACTGGAATCATTATCAAAACAAATAAAGGAAAAACAAAAAGCAACACAAATAAATAGAAGAAGAATAAAGTAAATGGAGGATGATAATAAAGCAATCACTATGTCTCAAAACTTACTTGCAGTGATAAGATGAAGTATCAGCCTCTAGATTATCCTTCCTGATATCAACTACCTGATTATGCAACCAGCCAAGGAGAAAATGGAGTATACATTATGAATACTCACAAATCATAAAGCAACAAGTTAACAACATAGTTATGCCATTTTTTTTTATTAGCAACAACATATTTCATTGTTCCAGGTAATTAAAGATCATTACTGGACAATAATGAGAAAATAAAAGTAAGGAAAGCAATCAAGACACAGGAAAACAATGACGTACATTTTGCTGGGACTGCCGTTAAAAACCACGCAGACATTTAGCATTTATACTTTTCATTTTAGTATACATTTTGAAGGCTAAGTATATAGGCTTGATATAAAACATATAGTTGCAAAACAAACCCAGCACAACTGGGACACTCTCCCATGCGTGTCGGACACGTGTCCACTGCGTGTCCGACGCGTGTCCGTGTCCGACACGTGTCTGACACTGGTACGGAGCCCTCGGAGAGGTGTCCGTGCTTCATAGGTTGCCTACCATTTATAGTGTAAAAGGACTTTGTCAAATCAATATTCTTAAAACAACTCATACTGTGAACTTCGATTTAAACTAAGGTTTTGTCTCATTTCACCCGTGAAATTATGACCTTTTTTTTATTACAAATAAAGCTTGTAGGATGTTCGCAAAAAAGAAAAAAAGAAAAGAAAAGAAAAGGTGAAGCGTGTAGACTGTATTCAAGTTGACAACAAGCAGATTGCCAGCCTAGGTATGCACAAATAAGGTTGTTAAAATCGGAATCCTAAGTGGGATCGTTGGGAGAGACCCGTGGATCGGATCGTAGAATCATATCAAGAATCGTAAGATTCTATTTTCAACGCAAAATAAAATGAAAAATTATGGATAATGATAAGTATGTTGCACAATTTTAAAAAGACTAAAGAAAAATGATAAATTTGATATAACGCACTTTCTATGTTAATATAAATTGAAAGAGACGATTGAAAAATGAGTTTGTAGTCAAATTTTTTATATAGATATACATATATATAACAAATAAATAATAACAAAAACAATTGGAAGATCAAAATCATAATAGAATTGGGATCATATTATGAATAAGATCGTAATCACTTTAAGATCCTACAAAATTTAAGATTTTAGTGTGATCTGGATCGAGATTCTGATAACCATTTTATTACTACATATACAAGTCAATGTGGAAAAGCAATATTGCACTGTACCGGCTGAACTTCATGTGGATCAAGGTAGAAAGCCTCTTCATCTTGCACGCCGACAATGTAAGTTGAAGCACCAGGTCTACCACCCAGGATACCAAGGCTTTGAGGAAACGTGAATGTCGCGCTCAATAAAGGAATGTACCTAACAGAATTTTAAAAACAAAATAATTCTGATTAACATACAAGACAACATTAAACCAAATAAGGTAAGGAAGGAATAAGACGCACAAGGCAGTAACTTTAGCATATTTAGTTTTCCAGCGATTATATCAGTGCACACAGCCACATAGAACAATTTGCTCAAAACAAAATTATGACACTGAATCATATAGATCAACATACCCCGGTAAACATATTTACCAATTCTCAATGCATGGAAAATAAACCCCTAATAGTAATAGCCATAGAACAAGAAAAAAGCAACCTCATAGAAAACATTAAACCAAATAAGGTAAGGAAGGAATAAGACGCACAAGGCAGTAACTTTAGCATATTTAGTTTTCCAGCGATTATATCAGTGCACACAGCCACATAGAACAATTTGCTCAAAACAAAATTATGACACTGAATCATATAGATCAACATACCCCGGTAAACATATTAGGGGAGCTTACCAATTCTCAATGCATGGAAAATAAACCCCTAATAGCCATAGAACAAGAAAAAAGTAACCTCATAGAAAATATTGAAGTACATGAATACTTGCTATGATCAAAATTGTTTGAAAAGTACATCGTAAAAATTGTGTGAAAAATGATGAGGCCAACAAAACAAATGGTGATGAACAGGAAGACAAGCATCAGAAGTACCCAAGTACCTGGGGTTGATTTTGTCAAGACCAAGAACCAAGGGAACCAACAAAAGAATAGGTGTCCAATTAGCCTGGCCTTTTGAAAATTCAAAACAATGTCTAGAAGCATCCTCGATGCAAACAATGGGAGCTCCACCTCTCTCCCCATCTTCATCACCAGAAACAACATAAATAGCCATGGGAAAAGACTGGTCTTCAAGTTCACTCTCCTCTCTCTTAAAGCGGACTAGAGATTCCCAAGTGCGACACATGGCATAAGGGCCAACCCATGATCCAGCAGCGAGGTCATAACCATTTCCTGCTTGAAGAAGATTGTGAATAGACAATGCTGATGCCTCAGAATCACCAAAGAGATGTAATATCTCAATGTATTCTTTGTTGAGTGGCTGCATATGGAAAGGCAGTTACATGAGCATAACCATTTAGCAATTTATCAAAATTCATTACCCCGTTCTCCAGATCCCACAGATTCTGACTTCCAAATTTAAAAATATTTACAATATATGATGGAGAGAAATAATAAATATAATACTCTGGTTTTATATTACCTTATGAGAAGTTTTTCTCCAGGATCTCCCTAATTGATGTACAATCAATGCCTGTAGATATGAATAGCCATTCATTCATTGACAAATTACAAATAAACCAAAAAAAAAAAATCAAACTCATGGGTAATAGAACAACATGCAACTATTCCTAGCCCAAAAACCAAATATAAGATCACATATGCTCATCACAAACACATTTTATGGTAATTACTCCCTCCGTCTCAAATTGTTGTCTAGCACGGAAAACAATAACTTAAAAAAAATGTATTCTCATACTAAAATTTTTAAATCTTTTTTTACCAATTAAAAGGTCTCTTTAAATATTTTTAATTTGTGAAAGAAAAAATGAAAAATTTGGCACGTTATTTTTAGGTTCTCGTTTTCCATGCCGGAGAAACAATTTGGGATGGAAGTTGTAAAATAAAAGATGAGAGAAGACAGTACTATACCTGAGCAACAAGCATCTGGCTGCTCCGAAGCATGCAACCCCAGTTTACATCACTGGTATATTTTGAGTCTCCAACAGCAGCAAAGCCTGCGAATTAACAAACACAATATCCTTTTATCCACATCATCAGTAAGCATCAGTTTTCTACCCTAACTCAATTCATCCAGAAATGAGGCAACAATTCACAAAACAAACCTTTACGATATGTCAGCAAAATTCTTGATGAGAAATCTTCAACAAATGCTGCTAGTCCATCACTAATAGCTAGATCACTAGACGAATCTTCCTGAGAAATTTTGTAGCACAAACCAAGATGCCATATGTCACTTGTCGAACTAGAAATGCCAGTCTTGTACAGCCCTAGCACACGCTCTTGAATTCTCCTCATTGAGCCACCATTCATAACTCTTTTCACAGCTGCTGTCCACCCATTACTTCTAGTACCGAATCCCTTCTTTCCACAACCTTTGGGATCACCATGCGCTTCAAAGGTTGAGAAAGCAGATAGAAAAAATCCTGACCATAAGGAAGTCTTGTAGAGCTTACTGTCACTAGATCCTGGCTCCGAACAAACAGACCCAGAAGTTCTATTTGGAGAATCAGAATAAGTTTTACAACAATGCTTTGAATTAAAAGTTCTCTCGTGAAATCCCTTCATTACCTAATCATAAAGCAGCAGACAAGGATACAACTGGCTCATAGGGACAACCGGAACTTGAAATATTCATCAGCAGTCCAAATGTAAAAGACAAAAAGGTCCTAAACAGAAGCCAAGATACCTGGCAGAAAAAAATAAAGCCCATCAAGTATTGTCAATGGCTCGTCATGCAAATACCAAAAGAACAAGTACACTGCATGCAAAAGCTACACAATTCTTAATATTCTCCAAGACACTTTCAACCAGTTTAAATAAAGGTACAAATATGCTAAAATAAATTAAAGTATACATATATAATATATTCATGCATGTGTGTGTCTGAGCACATGTGGACTTATATATCAAAAGTCATATAATCTCTCACATTCAAGCGCACACATACATATATCTAAAATGAGATCATTTGGCCATGCACAATGTAAAACAACTAACAACTAGCACACCAGTACGTAGCAATCCAAGTTGACCATGCTAAAAGCACATGAGGAAGGCCAACGAGGATGCAAGTTGAGGCTGAGAGAGAGCATCATCGTCTTGTACTTAATGAGGCTTTGCATTAAACCAACTCGAGAAGTCGGATCCATGGAGCCAACCCAAAGCAACTGATATTATTAGGACATGTCAAGCTCATTTGACTTGGTGTATATATAGAATTATAGCCTTAACATGGCCATAAAGATTTGTGCCCGAGTCAACAAGTGAAATGCAAGGCACAAATCTCTAGAAATAATTGATAAATATCTTCCAAATACAAAACCATAAACATACAAGGGTATATTACACTTGCACACACACAACCACAAGAAGGCCAACATCAAAGTTCTTATGCCAAACACTCAATAAAGAAGAAAAAAGAAATAACAAAATGAAAAAAAAGTATACTGAAAGAATGACAATTCAGGAAAGGGTCATCGTACACAAACAAAACTATTAAAGTACAAAGGAACTATAGAAAAATAAGGGAAATTTATGAATAATCAATGACGCACCAAGCTTAAAAACTGAACCTAGAAACCTATTATCATATCATTATCAAAATTATAGGTCTGATATAATGAGAAAAAGATTCAAACTTTCAGTGTTTGAAATTAAATTTTAACAACTACTAATCCATATCAAACTTCAAATTGCAGTCCTAATACAAACAATAATTCTAAATCTATTCACAAAGATTGTATTTACATATGAGACTTTGTATAAATACATTAACAAGGAATCCAGACCCCAAAAGAGATGAATCAGAGGTAAGAAGTGACTGATGTTCAAAGCTAGACATCCAACTCATTTATACATTAGGTTCTTCAATCACAATTTACTTGCATATATAATAACTACAATTATTTGCTAGTATCCACTCATTTATTGATAAGAGAGATAGTTAGGGGCACAATTTACTGGACATGTGGACCAATCAAGAGAAGAGAGAGAGACAGATTAGGATGTTTTTAGTTAGGAGTTTGTTACAGTTAGTTAGGAATCTGTGGGGAATGTTCTGAAATCAATTAGTTAGGCTGAGGTGGGTATAAAATAGAGGAAGGATCTCGTAGTCTGCATGTATATATGATTTTGTCTCTGTAAAAGAATACTGTTTCTTCAATAAACTCTCTTCTTAGCTTATCATTTATAGATTGATCAGGTTCTTTAATCATCAAACCAAATCTTCATCAACTGAATCAGAACTCTCTATTATTTGTTTTTTACTACCAAAAAATTTATCAACAACTCTCGATCGAGATTGAATAAAAAAATTTTCCTACTTTTCTTTTTCCTTTTTTCAAATCCATAACTATAACTACACAATAAAAAAATCCACACAAATTCACAATCCACAATGTTTTCAGAAATTAGAGCACATCAAGAATTATAGAATTTCCATTGAAGCACATAAATTAGAGACTATTCCAAATAGGAACACAAAAAATCACAGTTAGGGCAAACTATGTTCTTCCATTGAAATCTGAGAGAGAGAGAGAGAGGGACTCACCGCCAGAGGTACACAGACGGATGATTCACGTCGTCGCTGGAGCGTCGCCGGAGGTTTCTTGTTCGCTTGGATATGGAGGAGATTGACTTAGAGAAGAAGAGTATATATTGTGTTCTCTATGCGACAATCGTGTTCGACTCAAATATAAATTTATTTTATTTTAATTTTATTACTATTAATTTTATTGTCCTCTCTCAGCAAGGTTAGGATTATTAAATTTTCTATTAAATAAGTAATTCTATTAAATAAGTAATTAATGTCTTACATAAATAAGTAATTAATGTCTTACATAAATGGATAGTTTATTTATGTAAAATATTTGATTATTTGATAAAAAAATTGAGATTTATAATATTTTCCTTAGGTTTATATTTGTATGAGAAGGGAAAATAATTTGGGCTATTTAGATTGGGCTTCATTGTTAGATAGGTCTCGTTTTGTGATGGGCTAAAATGAGATTGGTAGTGTTTTTAGTCATAAAAGATAAAGTAGGTGTTTGCCGTGTATTAAAAAATTATATTTGTTTTGCAGACGTACATTTATTTGGGTTACATCAATCAATATTTATGAATATCTCTTTTTTTTCTTTTCTACTTACTTTCTCTATTTTTTATACATTTTTTTATAAAAAATCAAAAAGCATACTTATTTAAACCACTCCAAAATAAGTTAGTCAATCAAATAAAGGGGATATTTGGAATTATCTAAATAAATATACTTTTGACTTTTTTATGAAAAGATGTACAGAAAAATAGAGATGTGATGTAACCCAAAAGTATACTTATTTAAATAAGTGCACTTATATAGTACATGTCAAATAGCTCCAAAATGTTACATTCAAACCATAATCATTTTATTTTTTCTTTTGTAAAAGTTTAAAAAAATCAACCCAAATAAACTTTTTAATCTCAAACTAAATTAGTCAAAAAACTAAAAAAATCGACCCACCTCTCAAATAAAGCTACCTTTTTGAATTTAGAAATGATTTGAAAAGTTGGTTAAAAGTTGATTTTTCAGTTTTTTTTGATTTTTTTGTCTTTTTGTGTGTAAAAAATGTGAGAGGTGATGTTATTCAAAATGGATTAAAAACTAAAAGCAAGAAATTCTATTTTCACATACCTATTTATCTCAGTGTACATTATTTCTCAATACACTTATTTATTAATTTGATTATTAATTTATTTTTTCAATCAACACACTAAATGTTTTAGTTATACCACTCATTTGTATCATTATACACACGCTATCTTAACACTCCTTCCACGCACTTGTTGAAAATTATACTATAGCTCTATTCCAGACAAAGAAGACCACAGTCAAAGTGAAAATCAAGATTGGTAGTGTTTTTAGTCATAAAAGATAAAGTAGGTGTTTGCCGTGTATTAAAAAATTATATTTGTTTTGCAGACGTACATTTATTTGGGTTACATCAATCAATATTTATGAATATCTCTTTTTTTTCTTTTCTACTTACTTTCTCTATTTTTTATACATTTTTTTATAAAAAATCAAAAAGCATACTTATTTAAACCACTCCAAAATAAGTTAGTCAATCAAATAAAGGGGATATTTGGAATTATCTAAATAAATATACTTTTGACTTTTTTATGAAAAGATGTACAGAAAAATAGAGATGTGATGTAACCCAAAAGTATACTTATTTAAATAAGTGCACTTATATAGTACATGTCAAATAGCTCCAAAATGTTACATTCAAACCATAATCATTTTATTTTTTCTTTTGTAAAAGTTTAAAAAAATCAACCCAAATAAACTTTTTAATCTCAAACTAAATTAGTCAAAAAACTAAAAAAATCGACCCACCTCTCAAATAAAGCTGCCTTTTTGAATTTAGGGGTGATTTGAAAAGTTGGTTAAAAGTTGACTTTTTAACTTTTTTTGATTTTTTTGTCTTTTTGTGTATAAAAAATGTGAGAGGTGATGTTATCCAAAATAGATTAAAAACTAAAAGCAAGAAATTCTATTTCCACATATCTATTTATCTCAGTGTACATTATTTCTCAATACACTTATTTATTAATTTGATTATTAATTTATTTTTTCAATCAACACACTAAATGTTTCAGTTATACCACTCATTTGTATCATTATACACACACTATCTTAACACTCCTTCCACACACTTGTTAAAAATTATAGACTTACGGCTACAGTTTCATTCCAAACAAAGAAGACCACAGTCAAAGTGAAAATCATAGGTAGCGTTTGGTAGAGTTTTGTAAATGTGATTTGAGAGTATGAGTTATATTTTGAGTTTGTGTGTTGTGGAATTATGATTTGAGTGTAAAAAATTTATTTGGTTATGATTTTTAAATAGAGTGTTGAAATGTGTTTTCAAAACTTAATTCAATCAATAATTTATAATCAAACACACAACTCATATATCGATATCCGTATTTTTTATCAACAGTAATAACCAAACTATTTTTATTTACTGAAATTAAAAATTGATTTTTTTCCAATTAATTTTTTTCAGTAATTTTTGTTGAATAAATATCAATTTAAAAAAAAAAAAAAAAAAAAAAAAAAAAAAATCTGGAAATCAGCCGGACATCCGGGTGGACATCCGGGTGGTCAACCGGGTGGTCATCCGGGTGGTCTACCGGGTGGTCATCCGGTGGACAGAAAACACGCCTGTATGCGCAGAGTTCTCTGCAGAGAGTGTAGAAAATTGATTTGAAAACGTAACCAAACATGATGCTCCAAAACACACGTAGAAAATTGATTTGGGAATACAAACAAACAGAGCCATAGTTTTCCATTGAAGACCTCCATTCCATTGAAGGCCTTCCATTGACAATACCATTAAAGACCCTCCATTGCATTGTTGAAAGTAAGGCATCTTCTATTTTTCATTTCATGATTGCAGTTACCATTTTATTTTAAAACTTGACTATGATCTAATAAAAATTGTATTGTGTGGATGCAAATAGCAATTATCACCCTTAAACTTCAAGAAGAACAGTGAGTTCTTGAGATGGGTTCTGTTCAAAAGAGCTAGACAGATAGCTCAAGGCAGTGAATTGCTTGAACTGCAAACTTTTTGTCGGGGAAATTGATTTTTCTCCAGAAAGTAGACGAAAATAGAGGGAGAAAATGGAAATGGTTTTTGGAGAATTCATGGAATTTGCATTTGTTGTTGATGAGAGGAGTGTACAAAAATGGATACTAAGCGGTTTTCATGTACATCTACATTTAGGCCACATTTATTTGGCAAATTAAGTTGGATGAGATTATGAGTACGGTAAGAGTGAATAAGAAGATTAGTAACAATAGTATTAATTTGAAGATAGAAGATAAAGAGGGTTTGTTTGTAGGAAATACTATGATATGAGATTACTATATGAAATTACATAAATACCCTCAAACTAACCAATGTTAAAATAATTATAAAATGTATATATATATATAATAAAAAAATAAAAATGGGAGACAACCCACTTGGGGTGTCTTGCCTTTTACATAAACACCTCCAATTTTTTTATTTTTTATTTTTTTTAAAGCCATTGTATGCTGGTAATAATTTGAAAAAGGGTTGAAGAGGAAGGGGCACTTATGTAATTTCATATCCTCTCCACCAACAATTTGTGGACTAATTTTTGAATCTCACACTCCTCCTAGCTATGTTAATCTAATAGCCGTACTGGATTACTAATCCTCATAGACTATCAATCCGACCTATCATTTGCCAACCAATCATTTGCCAACCAAACATGCTATTTATTATTGTAGCTTACATGCCCTTATTGTGACCTAGCCAAAGGTTTTTCTTTTGAAAATTTTGAAATTTTTTGTTTTAAAAAGATGTTCATAGAGAAAATTTGAATAGAATATTAAAGGTTTATTTTGATGTGTATTATAGTTATTTTATTTTAAAGTATAATTGTCATTAAAATAAAATTTCATTAAGTGTTTAGATTGAAATAAATAGATGTATAGAAATAAAATTTCCTGTTAAAAGCTAATTTTTACCTAATTTTCCAAATTGCCCCTTAAAGTACCATAACAGACTACGAAATTTTGGGCTATTTTGGACCAAAATCTGGGGCCTCAGACAAGGCTTCTATTAGATGAGATTGTAATGGCTTGTTTTTTGTGTTTATACAAAAGCAAGTTTTAATTCTGTTCAAAAGACACAGAAAAAAAAAAAAAGTTTTACTTTTTAAAATTTTTTATTGTGTTTATCTTTAAAAAAATAAATGACTTATTTTCAAAAACATGCTTATCGTTTATTTTTTTGGACATCTAAAAAATAGATTTGGATTTAGATTAGCCTTCATAGTGATTTTAAAGCATACTTAGAGCCTGCTTGGGATTGAAAGTTGATAATAAGAAAGTCAAAACACCTCTTCCCGATTTTATTTTCTTTTCTTTTCTTTAAAGCTTATTGAAACTATTTTTTTTTTTTATCTCAGAAGCTATAAACAAAAATTGTATCAAACACTTTAAAACAGGCACAACTTTTGGTTGAGTTTTTCATAATTTATTTTTTATCTTAATTTTTTTTTTAAAACTAGTCAAACAAAAAAAAACACTAAAAAAACCATGTTTTGAATTTTCAAATATTATTCATTATCAAAAAAGAAATAATCATATGAAAATAATGAGTGCTTTTATTTTTTTTCACCAAACAAATATTTAATTTTTTTTTCAAAAAATACATAATCTAAAAACTCAAGCAAATTGCACTATCAACCTGGACTTCATTTCAAATGTTGTAACATACATTTGAAGGATTTCATTTCAACAAAATGTTCTGGGACTAATCTCATCAAATTTTTATGTCACAGCCAAGTACTCCATGTGTACTAATACATTCAAAATGTCAAAAATTTTATAGAGCATCAAAATTTACAGCATGTAGGACACCTTGTTCATGTTGATGATCACCAATCAAAGCAATCAGCTCATCTTCTTCAACAGAAACTGTCTCCTCTGCATAATCATCATCATAATCATGATCTTCATCATCATCATTATCATTGGCATAAGAATTGCTATGCCCTACAAGTCGGTTAGCTTCCATTTGTTCTTCTACTGTTTTCGCCAAAGACGAGAGAATATTCTTTGCTTTCTGATCGGGAAGAACCCCACAAGATTCCATCTCTTTGAACCACACAACAGCACTGTCAAAATCTGTGTTTTTACCATATGCATCCATGATTGTTGTGAAAATGGTTTGATTCGCTTTGATACCACTAAAACGCATTTCTTCATATTTCTCCATCATCTTATCAAGATTATTCACTTTTGCATAGCCTTTGATCATTGTCCCGTAAGTGACAACATTGGCCTCAAATCCATCCTGTTTTATTCTTCTGAAGAATTTCTCAGCACCTTCCATGTCAGATGCATTCACATAAGCTGATAACATTGTTGTGTAAGAGCAGAGATCAGGAGTACATCTGCCATCAACATTGTTGTGTAAGAGCAGAGATCAGGAGTACATCTGCCATCCGAGAGTGCATTATCAATAATTCAAAAAATGGTTACATCCTAAAGCTAAGCAGACTAAAAGTGGAAGACATAATGACCAATCATAACCGCATGGTAGAAAATAAAATACATAACACATCCCTAAAGAAACATTTATTATGTCATATATATGAATATTTAATCCTAATATCTATGGGAATTGGCTATGCCAAAATAATATGAAACCATTCAAATAATATATAGGCGATATAAAAAATTTGGCAATATGGAGAGGAGAGGAGGGTGGAAACCAGTGGTTTACAAACATAAAGGCAGAGGGAGCGGTGCGGTTCAACAAAGAGGAAGCAGACATTCACACCATCTTTGTGGATAATATCCCAGAGTCAATGGAGCCAAAGGGGCTTTTTGATCTGTTTACAAACTATGGCATTGTAAAAGATGTGTTTTTTCCAAGAGAAGAAAGTCAACAAGTCAAGAATTGGATTTGTACGGTATGATTGCCCAGTGGCAGCTAATGTTGTAATACAAAAAGCCAATGGACTATAGTGTGATGATCGAGCAATAAGAGTAAAGAGAGCAGAGTTTGGCAAAGAACAGGGAAAAGGACAGAGGGTACCATACTCAACAAATGCCAGAAAATACATCAGCAGGGGTAAGAGCATCTTGTCGACCGGTGTAAGAGTAAAAACATTCACTGAGGCAGTCAGAGGAGAAGGATCATCAGAGAACTCTAAATTTACAGTCAAGGTTAATGAAGTGGGTAATGGATGGCTATATCAAAGTTCCATTGTAGGGCTCAAATCTTATTGTTCTGTTGAGGATTTTCAGGATGCGTTACAAAAGAAAGGTTTGAAGGACATTGAAGTAAGAGTCGGGGTTGGTAGGGATGTTGTTCTTACCTTTAGTTCAGTGGATATTATGAAGGAGAAATTTCATTTGATGAAAAGTTGGTTGCATGAATGGAGTGATTCTGCTATGGAATGGAAGAAAGGGTTGTGCATTGAACATGAAAGGTTTGTATGGATCAGCCGTTATGGTATTCCACTAAACTTGTGGAATGTGGATACTTTTAAAAAAATTGGAGAGATTTTGGGGGAGGTGATAGGAATTGATGATGTGTTCTTTTACTGTGGTAGAGTAAGAGTTGCCACGAAATGTATGGAGTTGATCAATAATGTGATTAATTTGGAATGCAAGGGACTGTTTTTCCCAGTTAAGGTTTGTGAAGAACAGCTCGTGAATCTTGCAAATGTCGGATTCATTGCAAAGAAGGCAGTGATGGAAGTTATGAAGGTGGGGATGACCATTCTCTGAACATGGAAGTCAAAGGGAGGAAGACGATGATGATGTGGACGCCTATGTGGAGGAGGAGGTGGAAAATAGGGATGATGTGGACATCAGTGCTATTCAAAGAAGATTAGAAGTGATGAGGTCGTGGACGATGATTGCTGGATGGAGGAATCAGCAGTAGAAGAAACAAGGAGTGGTGGGGGAAAATCAACCGGATGCAGTGCATGCGTGGGAAAAGTATGCTCACGTTAACGAGTTCCAATCAAAGCATTAAAGATGGGAGGCAAAGGGTCGATGGTGAATTTTTCACTCCAGGTTTTGTTAGAAGCCTGAGTTGGTCTGAGGGATGTAGGCCTGCCATTACCTTGGAAGTTGTATTGGGCCAAACCCAACCCTGGAACTTAGTTGGTGGAGCTGAGCATATTGATTGCAGATAATAATAAAGCCCATGCTCACCAAATTGAAACTGTCTTATTATCATCTAATCAGAGGATTGCTGATGAGGGTGTAACATCGAACCATAGAAAGCAGAAGAGTAGGAGATAAGGGATAGAAAAGCAAAGGGGGAAGGAAGAAGTGTATGCAAAAAAAGAGGGATACAGGTTCGATGAGAAGGATGTACCAAAATGATGCTGGTACAAGTATTAATCTTAAGAAAGGAGCAGTTTTTAGAGCGGTGGTAGCAACATTATCGTTGCCAATGTCAAGCAAATCAGGAAGAGATAGACTAATCCTTGATGAAGCTCAAGCAACAATGCAAATGGGTTGAATTTTGGGTATGAATTGCAATGGGATAGAGGAGGAAGTCGTAAGTAAAACAATGGAGCTTGAAACAAAGGATAAAGAGCGATTCGAGGTTGGAGGGGCTGATGCTCAGTAGCTACATTAGCTCAGGTGATTTCAAGGGTCATATTGATTTTTTAATGGTGGTCTTATCATGGAACGTTAGAGGTTTGGGGAGACTTGAGAAAAGGAGGAAGATTAGAAACGTGTTGATGAAAAGGTAGACCTGGTAATGTTGCAGGAAACAAAGAAATCGAGTGTTTCTAGGGAGTTTGTAAGGTCATTGTGGGTAGGGGAGCATTTTGATTTCATGGAAGTTAATTTGGAAGGGAGTGCAGGAGGATTATTATGTAGGAAAATGTTTAACACCCACAAAAATTCTCACAATTTAACCCACAATGATGTGGCATGATAGATGTTAACTTTTATTTGCCACACACTTAATTGTGTAGGGCCTATCTCCCTTGCCACATCATTGTGAGTGAATTTAGGGGTCCAAATTGTGGGGTCTATAGCACTACTCTATTATGTATTTGGAACCCTGAAGTGTTCCCACTCTATGAATGTTGTAGCAGCAAATTTTTTTTACTCCTTGTTGGTGCTTTTCGTCATTCTTTTGAGTTTATCGTTGTTAACGTATATGCACCAAATAATGCAGGGAGCAAGGAAAAGGTGTGGGAATCACTTATTAGATTGAAATCTTTATTCCCAAAGCCATGGTGTTTGGGTGGTGATTTTAATGAGATTGGGAATATAAATGAAAGAAAGGGATGCCCCAGAAGAGATAGAGGAATAAGATGTTTTAACGAGTTCATTGATAAAATGGAGGTAGCAGAATTACCAATGCTTGGAAGGAAGTTCACCTGGTGCAACTCATGATGGAGAGAGGTGGAGCAGAATCGATAGAGTTTTAATTCACCCGGAGTGGCTAGCCAAATTCAATCTTAAGTTTTGGGTACTTCCAAGAATGGTCTCGGATCATTGTCCCATTCTTCTAATGGAAGACGAAAGGGATTGGGTCCTAGACAATTTAGATTTTTGAATGCATGGGCTTTACATCCAAGTTTTACCAGTTGTACACAAGTCTCGGAAGGAAACTCCGAGCACTGAAAGTGGCTCTGAGAGAGTGGAATACTGAAGTCTTGGCAACGTGGATGTGAAGTTGAAGATTGCTGAGAAGGAAGCCCATTCTTTTGATTTGATTGCAGAAGAAAGAGCACTGAATGAGTCGGAGAAGGCTAGAAGATGTGAGGTAAGAAGTAAGTTTGGAAGTTAAGCAAGTGAGTAGAATGGATGTTTCTCCAAAAATCCAGATTGAGTTGGACATTGAAGGGAGATAGGAATACCAAGTTCTTTCACACTATCGCTAGCAGTAGAATGAACAGAAACTCTTTGAATTCAGCGGTGGTTGAAGGAGTTAATTATGATGATCCTCAAAAGATGGAGGTGTTCTCTCATTTTAAGAAGCAATTCACCGAACTTTGGAAGATTAGACCAAAGCTGACAGGTCACTTTCAGTCTATTGGAGACTCACAAGCAACTGTATTATTGGAGGCTGAGTTCACTGAAGGGAAAATCTGGGCTGCTATTAAGGGCTGTGAAGGGAATACCGTTTCAGAACCTGACGGTTTTAATGTGTTTCTTTCAGAAGTGCTGGACTGGCAATAATCAGGAAATCGCTGACTTGCTTTTTATACTTCTGAACAATGAAAAACATATTACAGGAGAGAAGAGTGACAGACAAAGGGTTCAGGAAGAAGGAAATAAAGAATTACTGTCTGAGAATGATACTTCTATCCTTAGTTTAGGACACTTTCAAGGAAAAGCCCAGGGTATGTGATCATATTCAGAAAGAGGAAAGGTTACCTGTCTCTTCGCATGCTCTTAAAGACAGTTCGAGCTTGATCCACCATTCCTGAGATTGCAAACGCATCAAGCAAGATGTTATAAGCTTTTTGTGTTGGCCTGCAAAGGACACCAAGTATCAACTATCAAGCAAAGGTAAGAAATCAACGTTAAAGCTTTTTTAAAATGCAAAACTGTTCGTCTAACACATAATGAGATACTGGGATTTCCATCCATTCTCAACTCATAAAAGAAACGCAGGTATGAATCCAACCTGGCAAACTAACCCAATTCATATATGAATTAGTACCAGGTTGACCTCTTCTCATCAGTTGAACAGTTAGTTTCCGATTTAGCTATATTTAGATCCAAGTAAGGCTTCTGTGCAGACTAAACAAAGTAGTTTCCGATTCAGTTCAAATGTAGCACCTTCATATTTATCATTGATGAGATATATTGTTACAGATACACAGATGGATTGTGGTTGACCTATATCCAAATGCATTGGGTAATATTCGTTTATAATCTAATAACAAAATGCTCGTGTTTGGTTGGCCACAGATGTAAAATCACTTTCCCCTTAGGCTAGATCAATTATAAACTTTTGCGTATTAAATCTCTCTGAAGTCCACTATGGTGGGTTGTGGCTTTGAAAAGAGGGGCACGAATCCTCCAAAGTAGCAAGCAGAAGAGTATAGAAGAAAAAAATGATTCCCCAACAGTCTTTATAACATGAAAGCTGAATTCATTTCTCAACATTCAGATGGAAAAATCCAAGTTAAGACACAACTATAGGGGTGGAGCCAGATTTATCTCCTGGGTGGGGAGTCACGGCTTCCCTTTGCATGTGGCTCCACCCCTACATATGCAACAATATCTATTCCAATATTGGAATGTCAATGATATCTAGTTTTTCATAATCTACGCATGAAGAAAAAATCCTAAAAAGGCCAAGCAAGATTCATTATGCATGGTTAGTGGGTTTTCATCAAAAGTCAAAAAAATCAAAGTAGAGAAAATAAACTGTAATTTTCTCAACATCTAAGTTCTATAACATTGTATACTAGTGATATTATAACAAGAAATAGGTCACTACACACCTGACACCAGCATCAAGCATATCCTCAAAAACAGCCAATGCTTCTTCTTCCCGTCTAGCTTTTCCATAAGCATTAATAAGTAATGCATAACTCACAACATCAGGTTCAAGGCCAGCTCTTTGCATCTGAAATTAGCATTTACTTCATAAGTCTAATGAAATTACATAAGTAGGAAATTAAAAGATAAACGTAGGAAAGAAAAATCAGGAGATCCTGCACAATTATGACAAGCATTCAAGGATTACTCTTTCACAAAGAATGCTTGTGTACTTGCATGCAAACCCCTAATGTGTGTTGCAATACATCATAAATATAAAAAAATTACTGCACTACGCTAATAGACAATCAATAAAAGTACTTCCATATAAAAGACTGGTTAACTATAATCCAGGAATACAAAAACTAAACAGAAAGTCCTTCAATTTTACCTCGTCATAGATATTTGCAACCTCCTTGTAATTTGTTTCAAATGACATTAAGCTATTATAAGTAACCGCAGATTTCTTCACTCCTCGCTCAGCCATCAATGCAAATATTTTACGAGCTTTCTCATAGCTCCCTGCTTTCTTATACATATAAATCATCATATGAAACATTTTCTGGTCGGGTCTCAAAGGTGAACTCTCCTCATTCAGAAGGGTATCAAATATCTCTTCAGCCTCTTCAAACTTGTCCCCCTACAAGACCCAATCAACCATAAGGTTCCACAATATCCATTCCCGCATATTCAAACAATGGCACAACAATATCTTACTCCAAAAATCACGTGCCTGTGCAGATACACATTACATGCATACTAGTAGTGTTTCACAACAAATTTAAAGTATATCCCATAAACTACCTAGATGCGCTCCCCCATCTAACACAAGATTAATTGAAGAATGAAGAGAGATTAATTAAAGAATGAAGAGAAAATGGGGGAAGGAAAAGGGGCTAATTAAGGATACTGATCAGGTCATGGTCCTATTGTAGGTATTCTAATGGTGAAGCATATTCAAGGAATGCAATATAGAGCTACAAGGAACCTGGACTTTCTTTGCCTGCAGAAAAGATAGCAGTTTATTTAATAGCACTCAACATTGTGGTAATGGCATAGTCTTGGTGCATACTTCCATGACATTGGAATTAGTGTTTTTAAGCCACAACACTTTCCAGTCTCCATTATGAAATATCCAAATCATTTTGACCACCTTAATCTACTTGGAAGCAATAAGAGGATTTTTTATGTTATTTTTATAGGTAATTTAAGGATACTCAAATTTGGAGTCTCTTTATTGAGGGACCGGCCTAGAAGGCCGAGATCAGATGAATTTTCAAAACCTCAAATAGTAGTAGTTTAATGTATATATGGAAAGGAAGTGATCCCTGCATTTACAACATCCTTTTCATAATAAGTTCCCTTAAAACCAAAAAAGCAAAGGAAAGATATTAACTCTTTAGAGCACGCAGAGGTATCTTGCATGCAACCAATTACAGAGAATGAGTGAAGGTGCAACTTCTGAAATGGAGAAGAAAAAAACCTAAGGACATCAACATCTTAACGGATACATAGACATCATGCTGTTTAAATATGAAATAAATAAAAAAAATTAAACATAGGCATCATGCGTCCACCTGCCATAGTTTGTGATGAAAGTGAGCTTCCTACATAGAGAAGCAAAAGAGTCCAAAACTATATTACTCTTATACGCATGCCCCTGACAAACTTTTACACACTTCTGGACCACAACCTTTTTTTTGTGATTCTAATAATAAAAATTTAGTTGAAGAAATTACATAAGTCAAAGGATTTGAATTATTCCCAGAAATGATATAACAGAGATCAATTACCTCAGCAAATGCTTTCAGAATTATCTGATATGTTAAAGCAGAAGGCTCAGGGCCTGAAGACTGCATCCTTCGGAATATTGCTTCAGCCTTATTGTATTGACCTCCTCTTCCATATGCTTCCATAAGAGCAGTGTGGGATATTACATTTGATGCATAACCCTTCTTGGTCATGTAGCTCAAAACCCTTTCGGCCTTGTTAAAGTCCCCCTGCTTCCCATGAGCAGTGATAAGCATAAGAAAATCCATCTCATTAAAGTGCCACCAATGCTGAGTCCGAAGCCATTCAAGAATCTACATGTGATTAGAAAAAGAAGTTAGAATCATAGTAAAAATAAAAATGATGTGTTAACAAACTGCAAAATATTTTCTTCTTCACGTATAGAATATTAAACGGTCTATAATCCAAACATGCCAATCAATAGCATGGTGGATACAAGACTCAAAACATACTTCCCTAATAGCCCAAAGGTCTGGACACTTCACAATTGGATAATCATTAGATACAAGAACCTTCATACTGAATTTAGAATAGAAATTTAATTGGCACAACATTTGAGGTATGCCTCGCACAGAATATTTTGAATTGATGCATAATGGGGTTAACTCTATAATTCACTTAAATATTGGTAACGTGGAATGTGTGAATCTTAGAACACAGTTTAGCAACAACATATTCTCCTCCTCAACAGTTAATGAAATGACTGAAGCAAACATGCAAGCCACAAAATAAGAAGAAAAAGAAGATTGTGAGAAAGACCTCTGGAAATACCTCACTAACAAGGTTCCATTTCTTTAGCTGCTTAAATCTAACCAGGGTCCCCAGAACAAGGTCCTTGGGAAGTGACTCGTTTCTGGTCCTTTGGCTTCTGAGCACTGAAACTGCAGATCCAGCCTCCTCAATTTCATTCATAAGTTTCCTCCAGTTCTTCTGATCAGCTTCGTCAGCTGCATCTTTGAAAACTTCTATTTTCTTCCTCTTTTGCAAGAACTTTCTTGGAGCCAGCATACCAAGACAAACTACCTCAGCTCTTCTATGGATTTTTATGTTGGCATCAACAAAGTCTCCACATATTTTTGGTTTACTGGAGTACAAAGACACAACATATCGTAATGTTATTATCCTGTCCCTAAAAAATATGAATATACCCCAAAAGCTGGAAAGTTATTCAAGAAGTATCCTCTTTTTGTTTTTCAAATATATGTGATAAATTGTTAACCACCATGGCACCATCGTATCTAAAAGTTAAGCTAAGATATTAGAAAGAGAGAGTTACTTTATTATTCTCAACGCATTCCCCTCATGTGTAGCAAAACTCTCCTCTATAAGCAAACCAAAAACATGCAATTATTATAATTACCGGGTAGGCAGTGATGTTCAAACACATGATTTATTGTATACTTTGATACTGTCATAAATTGTTAATCACCATCTCATCTAAAATATATATATATACATTTTTTTTTTTTTGGTAACTTTAAATTTTATATCAAAAGAAAACACCATTACAAAACAAACAAGGGGCACACCCCAGCACTTCAAAACAAAACAAACCGAACCCAGAAACTAAACAATATCAGACAACAAACCAAAAAAAAAAAAGAAAAAGAAAAAGAAAGAAAGAACTATTGAACCAGAAGAAAAAAACAGGGACTAAGCTTATCTCATCTAAAAGCTTATCCAGTTAGAGATTGGAGTAACTTAATTATTCATTTGCTCAACAATCTGTGGAACAAAATTTGATGAAACTTCAATATGGTGTTCATGAAAATTTTAGGGAGCTAATATTCCCATTCCACTCTATTCCAAATACACTCCCTTCTTTATTCTTATTATACATAATTACATTAATACCTTCTCACACAAAATACACTCCTTGAAAAAACTAAAATTCCAAGGTATTAATGTAATTATATATAATTTAGACAAAAAATAGAGTGTATTTGGAACAAAGTGGAGTGAGAATAGCAACTTATAAATTTTATACCAATGATAACAAAGGCGTTAAATGAACACAACCCAACAAACAACATGATAAGAAATGAACAACCCACAAATATAAAACCCATTTAGCAGTCAATTATAAATTTATAAAGATTCTACAAGCAATTATAAATTTATACGAATTTCAAATATTAAACTAACTTCACTCATAATTGGAACCCAAGAAAACCCAACTACTGAGCCTTATAATGCTTAATTGGCTATATAAATTTTTCAACAAGAAATTGAATTTAAGACTTTCTCAGCAACCAAACATACAAAAGCAATATAAACAGATAAGAATGAAATTGAAGTAATTCGGTGAAATTCACAAGGATAACGAACCTCCAACTGAGAGTGGATGGAGCTGAAAAGAAAGGTTTGAGGAACAACAGTGTTTGCGGCATTTGTAGACACCACCAAGCCTTCGAGTCTCGACCTTCCTTCAATTCTAGAGAGAGAGAGAGAGAGAGAGAGAGAGAGATACCAGCTTCGGCTCACATTGGAGTCGCAGAGAGAGATATTTCGTGCATTGGGCCGGATATTGGGCCCAATTTTGTTGAAATAAAAAAAATAAAAAAACAATCTTTCAATTGGATTGGACTAACATTTGGTCCAAATATTACAAGCTTCAAAAAATAGTTCATTCAATCTATGCCGGCTTTATTCAATTAATTAATGATTTTTGTATTAGATTTGGAAAATTTATGAACTTTTAGATTTATTCAACTAATTTGATTGAATGTATTGTTTGGATTTTGTATTAATTAGAGGGATTTTTATTTTTTAATTTTATAATAACTATGATAAATTAAACCCGAAATTATGAACTCATTCAATTGCATCAATTTATATACATTTAAATTTGTCCAAATTCATAAACGAATTGCATTTTGCAACTTGAATTAAAATTAATTTTAAATGAGTTAAATATGAGTACCAATCACGCCCTGAGAATTTTGGTGACACGGGAAGCAGTGTTGGAGGTTATGGAAGGTTTCGGAAGGCGAAAGAACGTACTAAAGAAGGTTGAAAGGCTTTAGAACGTGGTAGAAGGGTCTGTGATGCCTTAGAAGATTCTGAACGTGGTGGAAGAACCTTGAAGGATCTAGAGAAGTCTGGATGAGTCTGGAACATTCTAGAATATTATAGAGTTGCGGAGGGGTAAAAGCATTAACCTCAAAAGCCTAAGGACATGAATGACTGGCCCAAAACATTTAGTCTAGCCAAAGTAGTCCAAGGTGAAGAAGAAACCCAATAATGTCTATTGGATGAGGAGACAGCATCACATGACTAAAGTCAGAATAAAATCGCCTCTTAGAGGGAGATTCACAGAATAAAGCAATGCCCTTTGGATCCGTGTACAATCAATGATGGAGATCAAGACTATCAGAGATAAGGATTCGGGATCAGAACATCCAAACAACATGACCGTCTGATAAGTAAGATCCAACGGTCAAGGTACTAGCAAATTGGGCATAGACATCCAAACTAATCTAAGCCACCCAGAATGAAACAATCTGGCGGTGACAAATCAAGGCAACTTGACCATTTGCTCAACCAAGGTCTGATGGCATGCAAGACCATTGGATCAAAATGGTCATCCAACGGCCAAAATATAAGATATTAGGACTATAAAAGGAAAAACCAGAGATAGCAATAGCAAGTATGAAAAAACAATATAGCTCAATCTTTCTTTTCAATATAATATGTTCAAACACTATTTTGACTTGATCGTCGGAGGGTCCTCGCGACCAAATCTGGTCGAGAGTGATCACTAACAACTTGATGTCTTTTTGCAGAGTATAGGAAGGAGCAACTCATCTCACTTTCCTTATGGAGAATATTTCAGCCTTTCACAATTATGGAGAAGCCTACTATATACTACACTTATATAGCTTCTAGAATGTAGTAAATAGGTTGTTATCCTAGATATTTTTAAAGAATGCTCTAGATGAAAGATTGTAACTCTTGGATCAAAATGATCCTAACCATCCATTGAGAAGGTGGATGGCTATACAAGAGAAGGGCCTCATTTGTAAGGATATCCAAGGGAAGGCCTCATTTCTCACTCTAGAGGTCTCTTGGATCTCCAATTGCGTTCAAAAAATTTAGGAGTACCAAGAATGTGAGCACTTGTGGGGATGATAGCCTTGTAAGCATTGTATAGTGAATACATATTGTTAGGTGTATGTTACAACTAATTAGGATTGTTGTGGCATGCAAATACACGAATTGTAAATAAAATACGGGCATCAAAAATAAAAGATTTAAATAGTTCATTCTAAATTATGACTATGTTTGCAGTTGTTATGCTTTCAATATTTCAATATCAAAAAGTTTATGTAAGTGATATAATCGCCCAAATTAGGATAATAGGTCACTATATAAGATCAATTCAAGAATTGTATGATCTTACAAGAAATAAAATATATAACAATTTTTATATGATTAATGAATACTATCAAAATTAAGAGATAATGCACTTTAATAATAATAAAAAGGGGCAAAATTCATTTTATTTTCTTTTGGTTGAGGGTTGTAGCACTTTATCCCTCTATAATTCAAATATATGCAAAGAGTCCCACATCATTTTGGACTAAATTGCTACATGGATAAAAACACATTTATACCATTTTTGTCTTATTCAACAAATTTTGTTTACCAAAAAGATTACATATTTATTAATTTTTAGGAGAAATTACAAATCAAAGTTTATAAACATTACCATTAATCTGAAAATTTTCTTCCAACTTCCAACTGATTCGTTATTTCTCCTAACTTTTAACCGTAATTAACAATTACATTTTCTTTTACTTAGAAAAAAAAAAAGAACAATTATTAACTTTTCAATCTAATTGAGAATCATTTTTATTTAATTTTTAAACCTAATTTCAAATTTGATTACATATTGATATATATTATTATTATCCATATATTATATAAACAAAAGGATATTTTTAGTGAAAAGAGCTAAGAGAGATCTAAAAGTGTTCAATCTAATTTTCTTAATTTTTCAATTTAAAAAATTAATTAATAAATCACATGCTAACACTTTTGTTTTAAACAAATAGTGCATTTTTTATTCCTAAAATCATTCCTTTCTTACCATCAAACAAGGAAGGAGCTTTCCAATTAAGAAAAAATAATTAATAAATCACACACTCAAAAATATTTTGTCGTAAAATATTTTCTGTTAAAATATTTTAAATTCTTCACCATAAAATATAAAATAATTTATATAATAAAAATTTATAACATTTTTTCCCCCATTACTATGACCATTACTGCTCAATGTATGTATCAAATCTCATTATTTTCATACATAATAAGCGTTAATATGGTTTTTTAATGTTCAAGCTCTCAACTCAATTTTTTTTTTATAATTTTTTTAATAATGAAAATACTAATTAGTTCACAATTAAATTTATGGAGTTTTATATTAAACCCTTAAATTATGCTACCATAATTACCATTTCAAATCACTTCATTAATTTATGTTTACCATACCAAATTTATTTTCAAAAATTGCTTCCCTAAGATTGCATTAATGTATGATTTTGATATATTCATACATACACATATGAAAAATAATTAATTCTTTAACGAAAAATTTAAATATTATTGATTCTTTAACATGGCCTGAGTTTCTCTCTAGCCCTCCATTGGACTGGAGAGGTGCTTGCAGGGCCTTATGGGCTAATTTTTAGGTCCCATTTTGATAATTTAAACCATTTATATTTTAAGATTCATTAAGTACATCATCCCTATAAAAAAATCAAGTCGGTCAAATAAGACAAACATGTGCTTGTATCAGTTTTCTATGGGAAAAAAAGGGATAGTGAGAAAATAAACGATTCATATGAAATTGATCTAAACACGTGATTTCCTTTATTTGTCTGTCTTATTTTTTGCAGGGATGATGTACTAGACGCACCCTAAAATATGAATGGTTCGGATAATTAAAACGAGGCTTGAAAATTGGCCCATTGAATGTTCAATCCAATATTAGAACCCTCAAACTAGCTCATATCAATCACAAATCGATAAATTATGATATAATTTATACATAATATTTACAATTATTATTATCAAACATTTTTACTAAGATTAAAGCTAAAATATGATATACAATTTAGGACAGCTCTGTCTTAGACAATTTTTTAATATATGAATATATGTAACTATTTATTTTATAGTGTTATCATAAATATATAATTTTTTACCTAAGTTCAATTTTTTTAATAGATATGCATAAATATGTTCATATTTCTTATTTTAAAAATAAAAAATACTTATAGATATTTATTTACCAATTTAATAAATAAATAAGTCAAATGATTCATAAGTTGGGCATGGACCAAGACAACTTTTAATGATTAGGTGAAAGTCACATTGACATAAATATACAAGTCATTTATGTATAACTCTGATAAAAATGAATAAAATTTAAATGATTATAAATCATTTTTACTACACATTTTAGATAAATTTTATATTATTATTTAATTTTAAAACAAATTTTTGATTATTTATTTATACTCGTGCATAATACTACCAAGGTTACTTTACCAAATCTTAACACAGTAAAAATAAAACTAATTAAGATTTTAAAAAGAAAAGTGATTTTTTTTTTTATTTTTAATTTAGTAGCTTTGGAATACAAAAATTGCTAAAATTTATAGGTTATTGACACAAAACAAAATTAGAATGAATCTAATTAAGATTATAAAAAGAAAAGCTATTTTTTTTATTAGCTTCAAAATACAAAAATTGTTGAAATTTATAGGTTATTGACACAAAACAAAATTAAGAAATAAAAAGGTGATCCCTTGATTTTTTTTTTAAAAAAAATTAAGTAACTTTATAATACAAAAATTATTTAAAATTATCAGTAGTAGACACAAAATAGAGTTAAAATTTGTATAATAAGATATCATAAATGCTTATTTTTTAACTACACAAAATTTAAATTTAAAAAAATTATATTTTCCATTTAATTCTTATCTAATTTTTAACTTGTTATACCCCAGTTCTTATTTTTAAGATTTTTTTTTTACAAATTTTAAAATTTATAGGTAACATTTCACTCTTATCTAATTTTTAAATTGCTACCATCTTCTATTCTTCTATTATTAGAGTTATATTAATTTTTTTTTCACATTTATCTTATTTTATTTTTAAAATTTTAAATTTCAATTTAATTTTTTTTTAATCTTCATTTGATATTTACTGAATTTCTCTCTACCTCATATTTCTAGAATTTATTTAATTTTCTCTTTTTATATTCTTATAGTTCATCCTCAAATTTAAATTTGATTTTTTTAAACTTTATCTTATATTTACAGAATCCACTTTCACTCTTAATTTTCAGTTGAATTTATTATTTTCTGAAGATTTATCTAATTTTCTCTTTCTATATGCATCTTCAAATTTAATTTAATTTTTTCATATTCATCTTATATTTATAGAATTTTACCCTTACTATTCTTTTTCAATTGAGTTTATTTAATTGAGTGTATTTCAAAAAAAAAAATTAATTAGTCCTGCATATTTATATAAACCTAGTAAAATCACTAAAATCTATTATTTAAATACCCATCTAAATTAATATCATAGTATTTGGTTAATTTTTAACATATTTAGAATAGTTTATCACATTTTGTTACTTACTCGTGCATAGGACGAGTTTTACGCTAGTTATATAATATAAGTAAAAATGTTGTGTGGCAGTGTTTTTGAAAAGCTCAATATATTTTTCTCAAATTTTTGAACTTTTATAATGTAAAAATATGTGTTATCACATTATTGGTTCTCATCAAATTTCATTTTTATTTTTTTAATTTTAATGACCAATATGGCAATACCTTTCAAATTTTGTCCATTAATTAGAGAATCATTGAAATTTTTGTCAATATGGAAACTTTCTATTTTTTATATTAATGATGAAAATCTCAATATATTTTTCTCAAATTTATGAATTTTTATCATTCCTTTGTTAATTGTTTTTCTATTACAAAATAATATATATATAATATCTCAAAAAGTTGTCAAAATTAAAATCCAGATTCTAGACCAAATTTATTGTTGTTGTAATCCACATTACATGACATTTTTATTGTTTTGATAATTTTCCTGGCTACTTTTTTTAGCTCCCTAATTTTTTTTTTAATTTTTTTATTAATCATCGTTGATATTGTTATTTAATACTTATATGTCAATTTTCTAAAAATATCATTTAAAAAATATATTTGAAAATTTTTCATAAAATAAAACGTGTGAAATAGATACATTCTGATTGTAATAATACATCACATGAATTTTGAGTACTCTCCGCCCACTTTATTTTTAGATAATTTTTTGAATTACTTTTTCAAGATCCTTATTTTTTTTTCCATACATGAATATTGTTATTCAATACTTATAAAACGTATTAAAAACAAGTTTACAAAAATTTTAAAATAAATAAAATGAAAATGAAAATATATTATGAGAAAACATAAAATGTTATACGCTATGAAATGAAGTGAAAAAGAAACTATTTTTTATTTTGGTTGAGTTAAGAATATGAAAAGAAAATGAATTAGATAACTATAAATAAAATTAACAAAAAATCTATTTCTGCTTAATTTATTTTATTTTCACTATAATCATTATCCCAAAAATAGGATAACTATTATTCAAAAAGTTTAATATCAAGTTTCTTATGTAATTATCTTAAATATATGTAAATAAAATATATAACTTAAAACAGTTACTATTTTCCCTTATTTTTCAAATAAATTTTAAATTAGAAAGCATATCACAAGATGTGAAGTATAATTGCAACTATCACTCATATCCATAATTTAACCAGAGCAAGAATATTCCACTTCATTTATATGTGTATATATATATATATATATCTCACACCAATTATATAAATATATCACACAAAACTAAGCTACTTCAACTGAAATTGGTGTTGTTTGGCAAGTGGGTTTGTGGCTAAAATAGTCACAAAAGACAAAATATGTTATTTTAGCCATAACAAACAAAACATTACATCCAACTCATAATCATTACTCTTTTCTCACAAAAAAAATTAAAAAAGCCAAAAAATCAAAAAGTTCTTCCCAAATCAGGCTTTTTAGCCCAGGTTAAAATAGCCAAAAAATTAAAAAACTAAAAAACTAAAAAACCAACCCACTTCCCAAACGGAGACACATTGCTTTAGCTGAATGTTTGCCCCATCCATAAATATAAGTGTCTCATCTCAGAGGCATAATATATAGACTTCAGTGTGCTCCAAACATTCATATAATGGCGAACAACAACACAACATTTAGGAGCCTATTTTACATTGGGGACAGTAGTCGCCAATAGATTCACAATTCGTGCCTTTCCTGCTAAGGCACTGCATGATTAAACAATTGTTATAAATCTGAACAACCTCATGATTATGTAAAGAGTTATGATAGGGATATTAAATAAATTATTAAATTTTCTATCAAACGTCTCACATAAATGTGGGACTATACCTATGTGAGCAGTTTGATAGAAAATTTGGTAATTCATTTGGGATCATATCACTACGAACACAATGATAATTAAATAATTAGCCCACATTATTAATTCTCAAGTATAAAAAGCAATAAATATTGAGCAAATTGCGATAGTAATCCCGGTACTTTGGTCTTTGTATAATTTTAATTGACTTGATTCAAAATTTATGATTTTATTTCAATTTGGTCTAATTGATTATAATTTTTTACAAAAAAATATGCATATAAGTAGCATGTGTTATATTTCTTAAAGTAAAATTATAAATTTACTAAACTTCGTGAGTTAATCTCAGCTAATTCAGTAATTATTTTCTGTCAAAAATACGACATTATCAACTAGACCAAATTGATACAAAATTTAAAATTAATAGTTAAAATTGAGTCAATTGAAAGTGAATGAACCAAAATAACACTGGGAGCAAAATGTAAGGACCACCAGTGTAACTTGCCCGTAAATAATTATTATATCACATAAACAAATATCTTAGAAGTCTCTAAAATAAACACAACTTACCTCATTGTACATCTCACAAATTATTTTGCACTGTGCAGGGTCATTACACGTTGTATACCTCCAGTGATCTTCAACACGGGCAAAACCTGCCGCATTTGCTTCTTTCAAGAGAGATTCCCCATACTCTGCATTAAAAAGTAAGACCCAACACACCTCATCCACATATAACCCATCAAAAAAAAAGGGGTTAAATTACAAATACAACCCTTGATGTTTATCAAAGGTACAAATTCTCTCATGATTTGAGAAATTACAATTATCCTCAGTCAGGGTTTGTCTTTTAATAGAATTAAAAGAAAATGTAAACTACCTAATTACCCTCCATTACCAAAATAAAATTAACCCTAACACCCACATCTCCTTCCTCCATTCAAAAACCCTCTCCACCGTCATCCACTCTCCCCCGCCAACCAGAACCCTACCCTTCCCACCCTCAACAGCCACCCCCATCCCTTCCCATGCTCAACTGACACCCTTTTGCAACCATAGACGAAAAAGCTAAAACAATTGCACTCTATATTACCTTCTCTCTCTATTAATCCTCAATCCCTTAGTTCCTTTTCATTCTCTCCCTTTTTTTTATACCACCATCAACAATCGGTTTAACACATGCTCTTTATAAAGGGGTTCATTATGTAGGACTTGTTTAAGGAATGCAAGAAATGTCGCCAAAATGTCTGCAAAATGTTGGTTAAATGTTTGAAATTATGAATTTCATTTTTAATTAAAAAAGATGAAGTGTCAAATACACTTTTAGGAGTATCCAAAGTGTCTCGAGGTTAGACACAACACGCTTGTTGGTGACTAGTTCGGTGGTCAATGTATTGTTGGTGACTAGTTTGGTGTGGATTTGAGCAGGAAGTGAGTGCGCTGTGGCTAAAGATGCTCACTAGGAACACACTTTAGTTAGTGCTGGACCCGGAAATCTCGTTAAGGGGGGCCGAATTATATATACAATAAAAAATTGACTACATAATCTATTCTATTAAAGGCAAATTATATTAAATCCCCTCAAACTATCGGCCATTTACACTTTACCCCCTAATGTTTTAAACCCAACAATTACCCCTCTCAAACTATTTGAATTTGAACATTAAGTCCTTTCATTAGTCATCTGTTAGATATTTGAATGAAAAATTGTCAAGTATGGTGCACATGATGATTATATTAAATTTTTACAAAAAATAAAATGGGGTAATTTGGTCATAAAATTTAATATAATCATCATGTGTACAGCACTTGGCAATTTTTATCCAAATATCTAACAAATGACTAACAGAAGAACTTAATGTTCATATTCAAATAGTTTGAGGGGGTAATTGTTGAGTTTAAAACATTAGGGGGGGTAAAGTGTAAATGGCCAATAGTTTGAGGGGGTTTAATATAATTTGTCCTTCTATTAAATTCTTACTATATTTTCATATTTATAAGAATAAAAATTGAACATTATTTTTAAATTCGCAAATAAAATTTCAGACAATATTAAATACTTGACCTTTACGAAACAAAAAGTATGTACAAAATAATAAGACGAGAAATAATAATATATACTAAATACTAAATACTTTATCACACCGATCATAGCCAAATTGGTCGTAGCTAACACCAACTTGAGTCATCAAATACCAATTCGGTCGTAACCAAAGTGACTACAATAAGTCGTAACTAAAACCACTTTTACACATAAATAAACATAATAATGAGACTTACCAATTGTTAGCCTCAGTAGGACAATGGCCCATAACTAAAAACCACAATGACTCGTAACCAACACCAATTTAGAACATAATTAACGTATGGTATATACACCACGTGTATTGTATCATGACCCTAACTAAAACAAATTGAGATTTTGGAAGGGCCAACTCTTTACAAGTAATAAAACCAAGAGGAAATATGGCATATTTTACACGAATTTTGAAACGTTTGAAGGGGCTTGGAAGATGCTTGCCAAAAGTCCGACACATTGTCTCACAAGGATGTAGCCTTTCTGATATTTTCAATTTGTAATCATTAACATAGTTGTATATGAAATTATATGAGAGTATATAACAATGAAATAAAATGAAAAGGTCATTGGTTTTTCTTAGGAGGTGTGGTTCAGGGAGGAAGGGAGGGAGAAAGGAACAAAATAGGAAAGACGGAGAGAGAAATGAGCAAAGCGTTTACGTATGTTGAAAAATAAAATTGCTAACATCATCTACTTTTGTTAGTTGACCTAACAGTTGACTAACAAAGGGAGAATTGTCATGCGATTTGAAACCTCAAGGGGCAGTATTTACTTTCTAAAACCTCAAGGAGTGTATTTATAACTTTCCAAACATTTTCTAAATGAAAATAACATGAATAAACATAAATCAACACGAATATACAAGTTTGAAAGCTTTAATTGGAAAATGAAATAAACAATAGCATGAAATCAAAAGGTCAAACTTACTCTTTTCTCTTTCAACCCTTCTTTGCACACCTGAGATTGCATACATGATGCATGAGAAAAAATAACGGTAAATAATTGAGATACATCTATAAAGATCAACGAGGTAACATTAGGCTGCTTGTGCCATCAAAGAAAGCATGAGAAATCCAATTACAACATACGGTGTCAACATTAATACAAACAAGCTTTTTCAAACCAAAAAAAAAAAACACTCAGCCAATCCAAACCAATATATATTAAACAAAAGCCTATGTGCCTGGCCACTCCTTGTCAAAATTATTCAAAGCTTCTGTCTGAAAGAATTTCCAATGATAAGCTTCTAACTGAGAATTCTTGTTGGCTTATTGGAGATGGAACTTAAACTCACTTTTGGACAGATAACTGGTTGCTGGATAAGTCAATAATAGAATATGCTACAGTGAATCATCTTTGTTTTCCTAAAATTTAAGGCCGTTTCAGATTTCAGGCCAATCAATCTTTGTAACTTTAGTTACAAGGTGATCACGAAGATCCTATCCAACAGGCTAAGTTGACTTCTTCCTATCATAATCTCAACCACCTCTCTCTCGTACCACTAATACGAAACACACACACACAAAAAAAAAAAAAAAACTTACTTTAAATGTATAGGTAGCCTTAACAAAGTTGGTAGGAGAATGGTTATGGACCTGTGATAAAGAGTGCACCCCTTCAGCTGTCTTAAAGACAAGTTTGATGATAGATTGAGATCACAATTCCTATTGAACATATCAAAATCCTTCATACTTTAAGTAACTTATCCCCATTAATCTTCTCTGAAACTACAGTAATGACACTAAACTTAAAGTCACTTCTGACACACCAACTGGGAGAACACAACACAAAGAGCAACTAACTCCTCCTAGAAGAAAGCTATTAACCTAGGATTGTTCGGGCTATAAACACTGGTAAACCACACTCTCTCCTAAATCCTTCACCCCTCCTCTTCATGGTTACCAAATTCCCCTTCCATAAGTCCAAAGTAATTAATAGTAGCATTATACTTGCAGCCATCAACTAGTATAAGATCCTTACTAGGAAAAAGAATATCATCTCAAGCCCCAATACAAGCATTTCTCAAAGGATTGGAAGGTGGTAGAGATTCAAGATCAAAATTAACCTTTGGCAAGAAAAAAGGGAAAACAAAGAAGAGAAAAGTGTGAGCATCACAATTCCTATCCACTTTGTTTTGACGATCAACATAACCAAATAAGCAAATAATGCCCCTTCAAAGCAAAGTACTCATACGATCATACCCATTTGATTCACATACAATAGGATCCATTTCAACAGTGAAAACACCATTTCCATTTGTTCCCTCATTTCCTTTGTGTATAAATCCTGATGAATGATTTTCCCCTTATTCTTGGTCAGAAGCATTGTTGAATAAAACCACTGTATCAAAGTTGGACGGCTCTTGCAGCGCTGAGATCGAGTTTTTGTTGCGATCATTGCCATCCAAAGACTCATCTAAGAAGTCATCAGATTCTACATAACCCCCAAATTTTGTCAATGCTTGACAACCACCAAAATATCCTTCATCAAAGTCTTCCATATGAATTGATTGAATACCCCCGCCATCATCACCAAAAATCATCTTGATCAAGATCATCCTTCAAAAAGCCTTCATGCATAGCCGTCACCATCTCTTTGCAACTTTTCACCAACCAAATCACCAAGCTCGAGCCATCTTTCCTGTTCTTGATGCAATTGAAGATTTCCTATTGGAGAAACACCATCAAGAAGTCTCACTTCCGACTGATCACCCCTTATTGATCGAATAAAAAAGGACCATCAATAACCTTTATAACTCATTGCAAACGTTACTCCACGTTATCATTAGTTTAAAAGCTTGCACGCTTGCATGATGTCTCCACAAATATATTTATTTCTATTAAATTAATGTAGCATTCCTCTCCCCCCACCCCCAAGCCAGTAGTTTTCTTTCCATTCAAGTTGTTTTGTTTATAACAAAATTACAAATTATTAACATTATTAGCTCCAATTGGAGCTGATTGTTAGAAATGAATAGACCAAGATAATTTGGATATGTACAACTAAGTTTGGTAGAGGCAACAATAAGGAAGTGCAATAGGATTACTGCAAGTGAAAATGCTAAGGGGGAGGGGAAGACCTAGATTGATATGTGATACAATGGTGAAGAAGGATATGAATTTACTTAAGCATATGGCCGTGCAAAACATAATTGAGGAAAATGATACGTAGCTGACCCCAATTGATTGGGACACAAGGTTTGGTTTGGTTGATTTGATTTGATTAAGTACCAAATAAGTTTCACCCTAACTCCAGATACAAAATTCCCAAACACTATGAATCAATAATAAATGGCCTAAATTTTTCAGCATGCATTCTCTATTGGATTACCAAAAACCACCTAACAAGTTAGCATTAATCACAAGTTTATAAATTGGGATTCATGTCTAGTTTCCAAACCTAATCATTTCAGCCCACCATAGATTTCTCATTTTTACTTTCTCCCTTCTTGATATTACACCATGTTGTATCCATTCATCAAATTTACACCATGTTGTCTCCTCTTTGTTTCCTTATCTTTATTTCGAAAGTAAACTTACTTAATCACAACCCAAATAGCGTGCATTACATGTTTTCTAAACCTTACGATCCAACTTTCACCCGTCCTAATCCTAAGATTCTTTTCACAATTGAAATTTTTGCAAGCTGCTTTTTTGATAAGTAATAGTAACTATAATTACAAAGCAAAAGCAATATACATTGTACAAGAACTCAAAGCAAACAAGTTTATTAACTACATTGCCTCCCAAGAAAATCAAAAATAAAATGAATACAATAAATAAAATAAATTGGAAGGCCTACAACAATCTAATGACATCCCAAAAAAATAGTGATCAGGCGAATACATACTTGATTTTGTCAACATGTGTTACTCCCACAAACAACAACCACCTAACAAGTTAGCAAAAAAAAAAAAACAAAACAAAACAAAACCTTAGAGCATGGGATTTTGCATTTCGATAGACCAGAAGTCATAATAAAATAGATAAAGACACCTTAAAATACAATCCTATACGATGATTGAACCTTTTTAGTTTTCCTTCTAGAATTGGTATGGAACTCTTGGTTCGTATGAGATACGGTATAGAGTTTCTTGCATAATTAAAATGCAGAACCATCTTAAAAGCACCAAGGAATCATCATTTTATTCTTTTATATTTAATAATGGCAAAAGTGGCACCTTAGAGAAAACAAGAAAGTTTCTAGATATGCATATAAACGCAACTTACTTTCAAGGCAAGATGCCATCCATTTGCGAATTTTTTCACAACATTGGGCATTGCAACTAGTTGGAGTACTGCTCATGCACTGCATAATAGAGAAAGGACAAAATATAAGTTCAAACACTGTACTTAAAAAGAAAATTGAAGAGTGAAACATAAAATCTCTCCAAACACTCTTTGAGATAAAACTAAAAATATTTGCATTAGGAAATTAAATCTTTGGATTTAAGCCATAAACGTAAACCTATGACTAATCCAGATGCAGAACGGGATAGAGAGAGGGAGAAGAACTCAAAGTTGGCCACAGCCTTTTACTCTCAAATATTATTCTCAAAACTGAATATTACAATTCCAAAACTCAAAATCCTAATATTTATATAACCAAAGTCCTACATTGTAATCAGGAAACCTAACCACCTAATATTCCTAGCTACCTTTATTTAATTAAATCTAATTAAAATATAATAATAAACTACAAATTACAATTATGGGACCAAAAAGACTTTGGACCCATGGACTTCAACATTGGCTTCCAAATCCGATAATTGGCATCCAACCAATCAAGGGCTGCACCATCACATCCTCAACTAAGAAAAGAGGCAACAACTACTATATCACCAATAACCATTCCCAATGACTGAACTGTGAAAATTTGTACCTCTTCATATTCTTTGGCTAAAATCTCACATGAATATGGCTCTACGTAAAGATTTGCCAAGTTCTTGCTCAGGGCAGAGAAACCCAATAGAGTTGCAGCAAGTTTTGTAACTATGAAGATATAGAACACAAGGGCAAAGGCATACGCAAAAACAAGATATCATAAACATAAAATAAAAAGGAAGAAAGCTAGAGAAGTTGCTGAAAACCGATTGCTACTTCCCTTATAAATGAAAAGCGAGGAAGTTACTAGGGGCGATCAAGCAACTTCGTTTAGTATAAGAAAAATGCTTCACACTAAACTGTTTGAACCAGAAGAAGCTGAAGAAGATTTTCTTGCAAAAGACGAGAGCAACAAATTTGAGAAGAAAAACACGGAAAGACAATATCAAAAACAATTAAACCCATAGCATGTATTAGTTGTTCAACTAAAGCATAAAAACATCAATTTGCAACACAGTTTGAGGTTGTTAAAAACTTATAAGTTCAACAAAGAACCTTTATTAGAATATATCCACAAACACAAACTGAGAGAGAAATGTCAATGATAAAAGTAAACTAGTGATGAATCAAGCATGAAAAGTAACTAACAATATTTGTTTTTAATTGTTAGTTTCCAATATGCTGCAAAATTTACACAGATGCCATGTACCTTTTGCGAGTAGATAAACATTGAAATTTTAAATAAACCTCTACCATTTTGAGCAAATGGTTTCAGAAAACAAAAAGCACAAACAAATTGAAATGGGAAAAAAAATATATAATTAAATTATGTTCAAAGTGAGACAGAAAAGAAAGAGAGAGATGGCAAAAGGAAACAAATACTGACCTCTACCATGAAAAAAACGAGCCATAACTCCTTATCAACAGGAACCAAGGTTGTAAGAATTTGGGGGTTACACAGGATTGATTTGGGATTCTACCGGCCTACATAGGATCAAATCAAGAATCGTAAGATGCTACAATAAGAAATAAAATATGTATAAAAAATTTCATATGATTAATGAATACTATCAAAATTTAGAGAGAATGCACTTCAATAATAAAAATAAATAAATTAAAACTATCTTGGAAAAAAAACAAAAATAAAATTAATCAGATAAATGTTCACAAATTCACCTAAACAAACTTGAGGATGTAGCTCAAGTGGCAAAGCTCTCATACAAAATTTGTAATTTGTGAATTATAAATTTTGGTATGAGAAGATTGAGGTTCGATCCTCGTAGTCTCATTTGTTTGCCATGCTCACTAATGCTAACATTAAGCAATTCAACTTAATATTCAAATACTTTCTTAACAAAGAAAATAAAATAGAGGAAGAGAGAAATTCAAGTTAACATTCACATCTCAACAAAGATATGTGAGTGTATTTTTAATTTCTTTCACTTTTCCCACTTTTTGTTTCCATATATTTTTAGTTTGACCCCAAATTAGCTTTCTAAAATTTGCAAGTGATGGTTTCAATTTGTTAGTAAATTTTGGATTATAAAAAAAAGGTAAATTGTACTTTGGTCTTTGTGTCATTTTAGTCCCTATAATTTCAATTGGCTTGATTTTGACCTTGAATTTATGATTTTGGTTCAATTGATTACAACTCTTAGTATTTTTTTATTATAGAAAATATGCAAAAAAGTGGCATATGTTATATTTTTTAAAGTAAAATTATAAATTTACTAAACTTAGTGAGCTAACCTCAACTAATTCAATGATTATTTTCCATCAAAAACACTAAGGGCATTATCAATTGGATCAGAATGACACAAAATTTAAAATGAAGGGTCAAAATTGAGTCAATTAAAAGCGGAGGGACCAAAATGAATGTAGGGACTATCAGTGTAATTTGCCCATGAAAAAATACTCAGTTTTGAAGTTTATATCAATATGTGGTGTCCCCTTATTGGCATGGAGTGGGGTTCACCAAAGCAAGGAGCACCCAAGCTACTACAATAGCACATTCATTCTCAGTTAATAGAATTGATTTAAAATGCTAATTCCATAACAACTCGCAGAGAAATAGGCAACCTAATTCATAATAAGCAAAGAAATTCATTAGCATTGTGATTCACAACCATAATCAATCAGTGCAGCCGGCATAGATGGGGGTTGGTGGGTGGGCGATCAAATCAGGGTCATTCACTAGAGAGAGGGCTAAAATTAATCATTAACTAGAAAATAAGACCACCAAAAAAATAAATAATAATAATCGTTAAGAAGAAGAGGCGAAGAAGAATGGCCTGGATCTACAAAACCTTAATGGGGAAAAACAAAACAAAAAAAGGTGAACAAGAAGAAGAAACTAACAGCCCTAGCCTGAAAACAACACAACTTTTTTGAATGGGAGGCATAAAGCCTTAACAATATAGTCACGGCAGGGGAGGGGACATCCTCTATCGTCCATCCGCACTGTTTGTTTGTTTTTTTTCGAACATTCCATCCACACTGTTTGGTCCTCAAAATAAGGGTTGTTTTGAAAAGATAAAAATAAGTATTTTTTTATTTTATGATTTTTTTTTATAAATAAATTTGAAAAGTATAAACAGTTTTTTTAAAAACTTTTTTGAGAATTATTATAATATGATATCACATCATTTGTAAAAAATATATAGGCTGTTTTTGAAATTACCATTTTACTAAAAAAAGCGAGAGTATTTCGATAATTTAACAAGTTGGTTTATATCTATCTTTTCAAATGGTTTGTTGCTCAAAAAAACTGATTTTTTAAGCAAAAAGTTGGCTTATATTCATTTTTTCAAAATGCCCCTAGACTTGGTGCTCACTACTACAAATATAGGGAAATTATTCACTAATTATTTAAAATTATCATCTTTTTATTCAGATTTATTCTACACATGAACGTCGCACTATATAATCTCTACCATACAAATACCCACCCAAAAAATCTTGAATGAATATGCCTGAGTTTCTGAACTTTTTCATTTTTTTATTTTTTTGATAATTATCATCCTACCAAGCCTATGATTACCTTAATTATTATTATAAGGGTTTTTTTTTAGGGTCCCTGATATTAAGATTTTATACTATAAAGGACATTCAATATTTTCATAATGTCTAAGATTCCTCAACATTGATCCAGAGAAATTTCAATCTAGAAAAATTCGCTCCAGAGAAATTCTGGACTTCCCAAAGAATTTCTCTAGGTTCAACCCAGAGAAAATTCAAATTTCTCTGAGTTCATTTTGACAAATTTTCTCTGTTTTCAAATTCAAATTCAAATTTGATTTATAAACCAAAGAAAATTCAGATTTTTCTGGATTCATTTTAACCAATTTGTTGCAACACTACTATCATTATACTGGAGCTTATAAAATAAACTCTGCAGAGCCAAAGGAATGCTTGCAGATGGTAAATCATTCTCAGTTGTGGGCATGTGATACACGGCCTGAATACACAATCTACAATATCATCTTCTGCTCCTGATAACTTCATGTAAACAAACCGTAACCAGATAGAGAAAAAATTGGAACAGAACAACTAACCTTCCTGAAGTAAGGTATGTGATATAGGGTCTGGAGGAGAGAGTTCATGTAACAAGTTGCTCCTTGGTTTTTCAGGCCCACAAAACCAGTCTCCTTCTTTGAGTCATATGCCCAGTAATCAACAACCCTACGAACAGCAACCTCGGCTTCAATTATACATGTATCATTCGCAAGATAGCCTCTGCCAGGATCGTACAGTTCACTAAGAGGCATAAAAGATGTGAAACCCCAATCACTTTCGCGAGCATTAAACTGGTGTTTTGTTTCTACAGAATGAACAAAACAAAACAAAAAAGGTTAATAAAGTCTACAATATAGTCACATCCAACTCTGCTTATTTTTTCATAGTAAGATACATCAAGAAAACATGTAATTACAGATTAAAAGATTCTGCAAGCAAAATCAAATAGTTTATTTAAAAATTGACCATTCCAAAAACATCAGCAACATAAAAATAAAATAAAATAAGGAAAATAAATAAATAATCCAATAATCTAGAAAGCATGTGTTGCATAACATGTTAGCAACAAAGGACAAGTGAAGACATCTGGGGATCACATGTTCTCAAGCCCCAACTCCTCCCCCATAATCTGGAAAACAAACGAGGCATACAATTCTTCATCGTTCCTCCAAGACTTGACCTATTTGGAAATAGCTTGTGGGTTTGGATTTCCTTGGCACGAGTGTGGTATTTTTTTTGGGAAAGCGTTTCAATACCAAAAAAAATTTATACAATGACGCTCAATACACAACCCAAAACGGGCACAATAACACGGCCAAGCAAGCCGACTCTGGATCACAATATCATTTTATAAAATCATTTTGACAGACCTTAGACCAATTTCTCTGAGTTCAAATTCAAATTCTTCCTCCAGAGAAATTCTTTGATAGCCTTCATCATCATCATCATCATCATCATCATCTTCTTTCTACATCAAATGAGTAACTGTAGTTGCACCATGAAAGCCATATAAGCAAGAGCACTTTGATAGCATCAACACAAATACACAACATGACAAATGATTAACTGGAGGTAGCATGAGGCAATAACAAAGCTTCCAGAGAAATTTGAACAACCAGAGAAATTTAAACAAACCAAAGACCTACCAGAGAAATTTAAACAATCCAGAGAAATTCTCTGGTCCAAACCATTGCAAGGTTTATGTTCTTAAATCTATTGTTTAATTAACAGTTGGGGTTGATTTATTCAAATGGTTGTTGTTGTTGAAGGCAAAGAAAATGGTAAACAAATCAAAGAAAATTTTAAGTAAACCAGAGAGAATTTCTTTAGTTTGTTCAGAATTTTTTTGGTTTGAACCAGAGAAATTCAAAGCTGGATGGTTATTGTTGTTGTTGAAGGCAGAGAAAATGATAAGGAATTTCTCTGGATATCTACAAAGCTGTGTCCTCGTGGGAAGCCACTGATCTTTCTCTCATATTTGGATTTTTGATTTCTAAATTCTTACACTAACAAACACACTACTGACACATCCAATGGAATGAAAAATTCTTTTTTTTCCAACGGTACCTAAGATGGTGCAATCACGGTAGAACTGACGATGGGTGTGGGCGTAGAGGGTGTCTTGGTAACCATCGATTTGACTGTTGTAAATGATCGCATGGTCAGAGGACACACGAAGTGCAACAGCTTGGTGCATTTCACTTCCAGCGCTGTTCTCGATTCCGATGTCCTTTACCATGAAGTGCTCTCCATCAGCCGCTGTACATTTTTATAATTTCAAAATTTTAGTTTGCATAGTGTTTTGTTGGTAATATAATATAATATCAAATAAGGATGATATGATACTTACACACTGTGACGGTTCTGTAGGTAGTGACACCGCCGACGAAGCTCTTGCTCCCAGTAATCTTGGTCTTGGTCGGTCCATCTCCGATCAAGAAAACATTCCTCATATGCTTTGAAACATTCACAGTCTCCACATAAACACCAGCCTTGATATAAATCACAAAAGTCTCATTGCTTTTCTTGGGCACTTCGGCTAAAGCTACACTGATAGTCTTGTATTTACCAGATCCATCCTTAGCCACCACCACATTAGGCTTCACAGTTGCTGCAGTGTCCTGAAGCAATTTTTATTGTCTATCGACAACCCACAATGGAAATCCATCGCCTCCAACCTCCGCCGACTCTTCAGAAAGTAGGCGGCGGCTTGAGCTAGGGAGGTCATAAGATGTCAAAGTATCAGCCGGAGTATAGCGACCCCGGTCTTTTCTCTTTAGATTATTGTATCCGGACTTAGGTTCCGTGGATCCTGTCATTACTTATTGGTTGTTGTTGTCCTTTAATCTCTTAGTATTCGAATTATAGGATGTGTTGGGCGGGTCTGTTACAGGTTGGTTGATTTTAGATGCCATAGGTGATGCCCAGATTTTTGGCCTTGCACGCTCGAGCGGACGGTTTTTAAACGCTCGAGCGGGCCCTTCGTGTTGCTTCTCCGCTCGAGCGGGAGTTTTAACGCCTCGAGCGGGATTTTCCATTCTCCCAGTATTTTGCTCTTGCGTTCTTCCTCGCTCGAGCGGTAGTTTTACGCTCGAGCGGTGTTTATCTAGAGTGTTCTTTGCTCCTTTCGGGCTTAGGAGGGGCGAGTTGTGACGCTCGACGCGGGTGCGCGCGCCTGCAAAAACTCTTTGTGGGGTGCAATCGACGCCTCGAGCGGCTTCTTCACGCTTCGATCGCATGATTTCTGTGGTCCTTAGGCGCTCAGAGCTGGGGCTTTTTTACGCTCCGAGCGTAGAGTCGGACTACATCAGTCCGTGGAATTTCACTTTTCTGATCACTTTTTGACCTACCTTTTTCATCTCTTAACTTTTTAAAAACCGTCCTTGAGAGTCTCTCTCTCTTGCTCTTACCTTCTCTCCTAGATTTGATCTATTTCGTGGTCTCTACCCTTAGTCTTTTGGAAAAAGGTAGAGCTTCACGAAGATCGTTTCTTTATCTAAAAGAGAGGATTGGGAGGCACTTTGGGATTTCTGGATATCATCCTCTCTTCTATATTTTAGTTGTGATCTTCAGGTAGGGATTTCTACTCTATTCTATAAGACTTTATAGTTCTAAGTTTGGTATTTGGGTGTTCAGATGGCTTGGGAGCATCCTTTTGATAATTTTTGGAACATACCTAGTTGGAAGATGTAAATGATAAATTGGGACGTGTAATCGTAATTATAGGAAATTGGGGAATTTGGTTAAATCATGAAGTCTGTGGTGAATTTTTGATTAATGGTGTAGTTGTTAATATTTCATAATCATCGCTCGTATTGAATTGTCTGATTTATATTAGTTTCCAGTCTTAGTTAGAAATACGTGTTTGGGCTTATCGGTGAGGATGTCGTGATTGTTGTAGACATTGCATGTGGATTAGGAAATAACTGAACTTCACATTGGTAAGTCATCAATTTGACTATTGCATTAATACAGAAAATTAGTGTATTTGATGAGCATTGCTTTTGCTATACATTGTTTTTGTTGGGAGGAGATAGGGATTGTACTCCACGGTTTTAGGGACAATGGCTACTTGGGCCTCTAAACCGGTTTTTTGTTTGGGAGGTGATAGGGGATGGACTCCATTAGCATCATTTTTATGTGTGCTTATTATATTGAAGTGTTTTTACATGATTATTGATACAGCACTAAAATGTGTATCAAATGGGAAGTATGAAGTGTTTTGATATGAGCCTGAGTCTCATTTGTTTGTTTGATATTGGAAGTAATGTGAATATAACATATATAGTTCACTGTGGTAAGTTTGGCCAGGTTCTGAGCCATATTGATAATAAAGAAAAGTGAAACGTGTCATTGACATTAGTGTCATGAAACTGTATAATGATGTAATTGATTATCTTGGTTAACCATCTATTGAATGCTATAGTTTTATTCAATGCTTATATTTGGTTTAGTATTTTTCTACTGGGCTGTGGCTCACCCTTTATGGGAACATCATTTTCAGGTTCAGGTGATAAGCTACCTCCACGGACTTAGCCTGGAAGGATTTGATGTTTGGGATTTTGAAGACTTGTCTTTAGTTATATGTTTTACTTTGTTATTTTTTTGAGATTTCATGTCAACATTCAAGCCTAGGGCTTAACTTGTAATTGAGTTAGTACTCATCCTTTTTGTGTCCAAGTGTTAGCTTGGAACGATGTAAGCCCTTAGGGCATTTATTTTGATGTTGCAGGATGTTACATGTGATGTCTTTCAATAAGAATACTCTGATGAATAACTCAAATGATTCATTTTCTTTTATAAATGCATGTTAATGTTATGGTTATTATGGGTTTATTTTGAGGGCGTTACACGGAGTGTTAAGGAATGCTGGTGGTGTAGGCAGAGGGAGAGAGAGAGATTGGAAGTGCTGCTCTGAAGTAAAGGAGAAGAGACAAAGAGTCAAATTTTTCTGATATATGTTTAGGGATCTTAGACATGAAAAAATAATCTTGTGGATCTCTTTCATTACTAAAAGTGGGAGAGGAACCTTAGACTAATTTTTCCTATTTTTATTATCCAAATAAATATAAATATAAATATAAAAATTAAAATTAAATTAAATAATTAGAATCACTTATAGTTTTAGTTTAATATTGCTAATTCTTTTTCTAATTTAACTATTATTTTTAATATCAAAATGAGTGTTTATTTTACTATCTTATAATTTAATATATATCATATAAATTCATTATATGATAATTACACTTTTAAAAGCACAATAGAACTAAAATTATCAAAATCAACAAATAATTTAACTAAATTTATTATATATAAGTAACTAAGTAACACTTTTATAGAACGATAAGGTTAAGATTATTAAAATTATTCATTTGTAACACATATCACAATATAAAATATCATTACATTAATCAAAATTAACTCCATTGTAATTTTATTGTAGACATCATATTTCTAAAAGTGATTTACATACACGTGTAGCGTTCAATTTGATATTGATGGATTAAAATAATGGAATATGTTTGGTTTAATTTTTCAAATTTATTTTTAGATGAGTTTTTATTTATTTTTGGTCATTTTTTATATTTTAATAAATTCTTTGTAATTTTTAGATGCATCCAAAATATAGAATAAATTGGCTAAAATATTAGAAAAATATTAAAAATTGATGAAAATTCAAACAAAAATCTGTATACATTTTTGTTTGGGTTTTTAGTAATTTTCTTATAATTTAGTTAAACATCTTTGCTTTTTAGATACAAATAATCTTAATGTGTCTTAAAAGAAAAATTTTGATTAAAATATGAAAAAAAAATCAATAAAAACAAATGAAAATCCATTTAAAAAGAATTTATGAGAATTGTAAGCAGGCCCAACAAGAGGTAGGCAACAAAGGCATATTGGGCTCCAGACTTTAAACAGAAATAGGGCCCTAATTTTTATTAGCCTTTTATAGTATTGGAGACAGAATAAGGCCCAATACAACTTATGCAGCCCAATTAGACTTGTTAGACTTATACAACTTAAGCAGTATGAGTCTAAAATGCATGTAGTTTAAGTACGTATAAGTCCTCTTATCTATGACCGTTGGCTCAAACCTTACTCACCTCCTTATAGAACTTTTTTTAAAAAGTATAAAAAACAATTTCCCAATTTCCTTCTTCATATTATAATATATTAGCAGCCGATGCGTGTGCAAATTAAAAAAAAAAAAAGTTATATTCTGTAATTTATATTTTATATTATGTAATTTATTTATTTTTTAAGAGGAAGACATGCTTTTAAATGTTGTTCAAGTTATGAAAAACTTTAAGATGATGTAAGGAGAAATATTTTAAAATGTGTTTTGATACATGCATACATTTCTGTATTTGATGTTGTAAACTATATTGCTTGCTCCAGTAGTCCAGTTTAATGGTGCACTTTTTTTGGATTCATTCTATCTTTTTTTCTTTGGCATCACTTTGTTTTTCTTGCCAATATACAATTGTTTTTAGCAAAATTCTTTTTGAATCTTGTCATTTTAATGTAGGGAATTTTTGTTGCTACTGGATTATTTGGAGATCATAGTCACTCAATAGGCGGTAATGGTGAGCAAATTTACTTGCATATTCTGATAAAATGCAAAACATAAAAAATAAATAGAAAATAAAAAAAAAAATCATATTTTTGACTAAATAATTACAGAATTTATACTAAAAAAAATAAACAAACATTGATAGAACACTTATAGAAAAAAGCCAATTGCATTTCTAATTTCTAAGTTAAAAATAAGTTGTAAAAAGTCATCACGTAGGCCACCATTTGAATTGGTTGATTAGAATTTTTATGATACATCATAATAAAGCAATAAAATTTAAAAAAAAAAAATTGAGAAAAATTGAAGAAAAAAGTTTCAGTTAAAAGGAAATTTAGAAAGAACTGGAAGAAGAAAAAAAAAACTTTACAATATTCAATCCATAATTTACATACAATAACATAAAAGTAAATTGTATGAAAAAAATATACTTGATAATGCTTTTACTTTTATATTTTTATTTGAGAAATAGTTGCTTTCAAAATTAACAAAATAGTTAAGGTTAAAAATAAAAACATCAGTAGTTTGATTAAGAAAATTAAAGTGAGCAACTTTAGGAAGAAAAAGACAACGGAAATGTGCAAACCTGTCAATGATTTGAATGGGAAGAAATTTTTTGAAAAGTTTGTGGAACTATGGAACAATAAGATGAAAGTGAGGGTACAAAATGCGTAGGTGTAGGGTAGGGATGAAATAAGATGAAAGTTAGGGAAAAGAACGTAGGTGTAACCCAGGGATGAGTGGCATTGTTGTTTCTGTCAGATAAATTTTCAAAACATAAAATCTTAGAGTTTGGATCATGCATCATGTGTATTAGCAAGAAAACAAAACAAAAGCGTACCTGATTCCATCGTAATGGTTAAACGGAAACATGATTGTCAATAACACCTTTTGTATTGCCTTCCAATCCTTTCCTTATTAGTGCCTTTTGTTTCTCCTTGAGAGGATATCGAAGAAGTTGGCAGTTCTTTTCTTATCAGGCGAGATTATGGACCATAACCACTTAAAGTTAAAATAGGTTTTCAAAAAAACAAAACCGTGTGGCAGTTTCTATGAAAACCAACTTAACCAATTTTGTTTTAATTTATATTTCTGCCCCTCATAGAAATAGAAATTACTCAACTAGTATCTACACATTAGGTCCATGACACATATACCCTTAAGCCTATTAACTAAATTGAATCACTTAAATTGTAGGCTTCTTATAAATGATAACACCACATTTAAATATGTGGTCCCATTGAGACATTATCTAACAATCTCCCACTGGACCACATATGTATCCTGAAAAATGTGCTTAACTTTAGTGAGCTCAGAAATTTGTTATCATAACTTGAGGGTACCCAAACAATCTTGTCCATTAACTATATTAATATAGGATCAAAGCGATCTTCGTTACATCAATCGTAACTCGACCCACCAATGGTCACGTATACTAATACAGCTAAATAACATAGATCAATCATGGATGCGTAGCATGGAAATTACATGTGATGTGATCCATACATGCCTATTTCCAACTGGTCCTACTTAACTTTATTGAGATCAATACTAAGTGATGAATAGTAAAAGTTACT